ATCATATTTAACAAAGATTAGAAATGATTTATGTGATTTATGTTCAAATTGTCAGTTATATGAAAACCCAGAGCATCTTCTTTTACTTTGTACAAAGCATACAGAGTTAAAATTGAGATTGAAAGAGAAGTTTGAATTGACATAGTTAAATCTAAAACTTTTATTCAATACAAAAACTGGAAATAAATTCTTGATTGAATATTTGAAAGAATCAAATATTGCTATAAGATTTCAATTGAATAGTTTAATCTGATAATGAATTCAATTTTTGTTTTTCTTTTTTCATTTGTTTCTATGTATTTGCTTTAATTTTTGTTCTTGTTTTTATTTTTATTTTGTTACTTTTGCTTTGAAATTTATTTCACTTTGATTATTTTTGATTTTGACTTGTTTTAAAAAGTTTGATTTGTGAATGCTTTCTTTTCTTTTAATAGCTGCCGTTTTTTATACTTTTTATTTCATTTGTTTTGAATTCAATATATTGATTTGTTGTCATTCTTTTGACATTCTTTCTTAAATTGAATAGTTTGAATAGTTGTTTGATTCTGGGCTGGAATTCTGCTATTGCATGTATTAAATTGACTTTGTATATTAGCTTATTCTTAAGTTGAAAAATCCTGGAGTATTTTAGGTAGATGTCATAGTCACTGACTACATACATCTATAATGGAAAAATAATAATAATAAGTACACAATTGCAATCACTGTGGCTCAGTAACAGCATAGCATGAATGATGAAAAGAAATGTTGAAACCCCTGCCTATTTTTAAATGAATTTGATATGATATAGCAATTGACTTTGCAGTTTCTTTATTCAAAAGTGGAGGTTCTATAAACATTCTAGTCATTGTTGATTGACTCAGCAAGAATGTAATACTGCAGCTATGTGACAAGATAGATATTGAAGTAATTGCAGATGCTTTTATTCAGAAATGTGAATGAACTGACATATCATATTTTAATTGTTCAACATATCAAACACCTTTTTGTTTGAAAATTCAATGTTGAAAGGAATTCCATGAAATGGTTTGATAGAGTAATTATGATGCGAATCCTTAATTAGAGCTTTTTTAAATACGCTAATACTGACTAATACCAAAATCACTTTAACCGGTCAATATATTATATGCCGTATAATATACACTAATTGAAACCACGCTAATTGGGGCAAAACCTAACCATGAGGAGATAACCGTGCCATGCTTACTCACTCTCTCTAGCGAGTGCGCCACAGCGTACGGAAAACCACGGTGTACAGAAAATATTATCAATATCGTCATTTTTCATCTTCATATAATCATCATTAATTATAACCATGTCTAAATCTTCTAATTACTGAGAAGCAGTTGTAAAGAGCTGTTGATATGTACAAAAACAATTCAAAATTAAAAATCACATCTCTGTCACAAAAATTCAAAGTCTCATATGCCATCTTGTATGGAAGGATCAACAGAAAGAAATCAAGAACTATGAAGGTTCCACTGAATAGAGCATTGAATGACAGTCAGAAGAAGGCAATTAAGATATGAATTCATCAGTTGAATATTAATTTTTACCCACTCATCATTGAGCATATCAAAGCCACTGTGGACTGCATGTTGAGACAGCATCATACAGATCCAGAGATCACACCTCTTACAGTAAACAAAGTGTGAGCATATCAATTCATCAAACATCTGTCAGATTATGAATGAATCAAGTAAAAGCTTATGAATTCAAAATAGATATTTGTGAGAATATAAGCTTCATTATCAACTGATTTGATTGATATGAAGCTGTCTTCAATCAATATCACTTTTTCCCTTGCAATATCTACAACTTTGATGAAATTGAATTTCAAGAAGAAGAAGAATGTGAACAGTGAGTTATAACTGTCTTTAAAAATATGAATTTCATCATACAGTCATCATACTCCTGCAGGTTAATAACAGTGGTGGAGTGTGTCAGTGCAGATGACACAATATTGAATTCATTGATTATAATGAAATTAAAGATTTATCTAGAGGATTAATATACACACTTCAACTTATCTGACAATTACATCATTACTGCATTCAAATCTGGCTTCATAAATGATGAGATTAGATTTGAATGGATCAAGCAATTCAATAAGATGATAAAAAAGTGTCAATGAGTAGTCATTGACTGTTACTAATAAACAATCATGATTCTCATCTCACAGAAGAATTCATTCAATACTGTGACTTTCATAAGATTATTGTATTCAGATTTCTATTTCATACAAGTTATATTCTACAACCTCTTGATGATGTACCTTTTCAGCAGTATAAGCATTATCATACAAAGGCAGTTAATGAGGCCGCCTGCTATGAATATGAGCAGTATGACGGCAGACAATTCCTTGCTAATCTGAAGAGTGTTCAACTGCAAGCATTCAAACCTGGCACTGTGAGAGCTGGCTTACCGACCGCGGAATGTATCCAGTTAATCATGATATAATTCTCAATTGATTGAGACCTCTTACCATTGATGATGCCCCAGATCTCAACATATATGATGATGATGATGATGTATGCAATTACTTTATCCCACTATCTGCAGATTGACTGTCAACTGCCTCTTCACAATTAATCTCTTCAGAGACAGTTGCAAAACTACATTATCAAATCAATGCAGCAGTCAAGATCTTACAAGATGTGAAGAATACTTTTACATCTGATTTGACAAAGCAGTTGAACAAAATCTTCAAGGGTAGCATGATCCAGATGGAATTGAACACACACTGTGAGGGTGAACTTGCAGATCATTATCAAGTAAATAGACATCAGATCATTAAATTCTCCCACAGGCAGATGCAAATAGACAGAATCCTCACTATTAAAAATGTCAATCACAAAATCACAATTCATAGAGCAGATGAGATGAAAAAGATATTCAATAAAAATCTTCAGTCAATTGAAATCAAACCTACAAAATCTACAGCCACTCAATCACAACAAGATAATTCTATAGAATCTCAATCTACAGTGGATTCTACACCTTCTAATGAGTATATAGATAATCTTTATGTTATAGATAGATGTGGTGGTGGTTATTAATTAATTTTCGAAGATCACTATATTCAAAATATTTTCCATACGCTGTGGTTTTCTGTACGCTGTGGCGCACTCACTAGAGAGAGTAAGCATGGCACGGTTACCTGGGTATATAGTGGAAATGAACATGACTCGACCTCGACGTATGATGCATAATGTGGCAAGGACAAACCAACCTAACAACTGCAAAATTATCAGTACCTGCCAATCTAACCCGGACCCAAAATCCCCAGAAGCATTGCAAACAATGTAACCACCAACCCCCATCCCTCATATACCCCAGTCATCAACTTCACGGCACCACCATGGACCCTATCCTGAACGTTCTCCTCAAAAAACTTTCTCCCTATAATGTTCCCCACTGGGAAATATTGACAAACAATGTACCATCCATACGCATCATCACTATCTCTCCTCTTTTTATAATCTCCACAATTGAACCTCGCACACCCTACAGTCCTGGTGGCCTTCCAGACCAGCTGTGAAAAATGGCCCGTCTCATGTGTGAAGTGGGGCTTATTGAAGTTGAAATGAGTTCGTTCATCGCCCCATCCCTGGACTGAAGCCGTGACGTTCGCATAGCCCATGGCGAGGTTTTCACCGCTAGTCTGTGTGGGTGTGTTTGTTAGCTGGATGTGGAAAAACTATTGTACTGTGCACACACACACACACACACACACACACACATATATATATATATATTTATAAATAATAAGATGAACATATCGATGCGCTGAAATTTCGAAACACGGGACGAGGTATGTGCGGTACTATAATTCATCCCGAAGAGATACGTACGGAGTGAGCCCAGTGACATTGACGTGCCCAACGCATCGAGCTGGATTCGAGAGTGCGGTTCCATGTGAGTGCTGTGGCGTTGTGCTCGCGCCTGTATCTGTTTGTGACAGTGAGGATAGTATTCTGAAATACTCTGTCGGAAGCATATGAGCGCGGGATAGCAGGTGACGTTTGATGTGGTGTAGGTAAGGCAGGGACCGTAACCGTAACCGTAAATATAACTAGGGAAGGGGCTGCGAAGGTGCCAGAAAAATATAGGAGAAAACAGAAGATGGTGAGGGGATGTGATGACTTTAGCATTTCCGGGGTTGGTGGAAAGGATTTAATGGTTATTGAATGGGGGCCTAATGGTTGCATAAATCGTATTGATGATAATCAGAAGACGAAACAAGTGCCTTAAAGCGTGCCAGAGCGATAAATATGGACAATAATAATATCATGCACAGATGGATATCCTTTTGTACGGCAGGCGACGGTTGAGCAAACTCGAGGGTATAGACTTGAATGCGAACAAGAACGTTATTTCTTTGCCCTGACCTTTCCGGCGGGTAGCAAGAAGGTTGAAAGGAGAATATATCACAAATAACAAAAGAAAATACAGATATACCTAAATATAACCATAAAAGCTTTTACATGTTGTGACTATAATTCAACGACAGAAATTAAAAAATAATGCTATCATGGCGTGTAGGAAAACCGATCCTACTTGCAGTAAGTGACAGAAAGCAAAACATACTTGTGACTGGCGGGAATGTCATGATCCAAGAAAATTTGGAGGAGACATGATGCAAAACATCTTTGTAGACCGTGTGTATCAGGGCCGGGGTCATGGCTTTCTTTGACTGGCCTCTCGTGAGTGTTGTCGAAAACCCCTGGAAGTTGACGGCGCCTATAGAAACATCGACAGGTTTTTATTCGGATTATGTAATCAGTGGAGTGCTTGGGTTGGGAGATTTTGCTGGAGAGAGAGACGGAAAAGTGGAGGATCAAACATTGATTATGGACGGCGGCGCCACCATTAGCTGTATCCATTAACTAACCAGCCATAGCTGCACCCAGAAGCTGGGACGGCGTTTTACCTAAGTTGAACATCACGAAAGTCCAGGTATCAAAACCCACAGAGGTCCGTCGAGGAGAACATCCAATTCACATCACGAAGCATCCAATACCAAACATAGCCCCTTCTACACTTTTTTTAACCTGATACCAATCCGCGCGTCTGGTGGCAAATTCATATACCTCCTCAGCGCGAAAGATGCCCTGAAACCGGTCACCATCAGCGATGATAGTGGCCATCTCCTTGGAATCAGACGGGTCAATAAGGTAGACCTGTGAAAGTTCCCGGAGGGCAATAAAGTACTGGAGCAACTGATCGTTTTTCATAGTTTTGATGAGGTTGAAGTAATGGTTCATGTCGCTATTGCTCAAGAAAAATGTAGAGAGTAAGCTACCATAACCATGTTTGCAAATCCATATGAATATTCGGTTGGGATTTTCAACTTTACCTGATAAGTTTAATGGATCCCTCTACCGCAATACGCTGCATTTTTAGATGTTTGCACAGCGACGCAAAAAGCCGAAGGCCGATCTCCTGATTAAACACCTCAAGTGTACTCTTGTCTGTGCTCCCCACAAGCATGCGCGTATGCGACGAAATAACTTCCACAACCGCCTTCGCCGCCTCGCTTGGCCCAACATCACTCGTATTCCGACGGGTAGGGCCTGCCTCCGGGTTAAAATCAGTCGCAGGCTGCTTCGTCGCCAGTAGGTAATCAACTTCGTCCATAAGCACGTCTATCCCCTTGTTAAGACCCGCCGCAACCCGCTCATCCAGCATCTGCTCGAATTTTTTCTTCTCCTTCACTGCTGGATCAAGGAAGTCGCTCCGATCCGTCAGTTTCGCTGCAACAAGCTCCTGCTCGTAGAAGACGTCCATCATCTGGAGAATCAGATCGCCGACATTGACCAGTTCCAGGAAGGTGACTAATGGCTCCACGCCCTTGCCGTCATGCTTCTCCTCGTATCGAGGACGATATTGAGAAAGGTGGTCGACGGCTTTATCGAAACCTGCAATGACATGCCGATGGCCGAGGATGTGCAAAAGGGAGACGAAAATAGACTCGCATTGCAATTTCGCATCATTCCCGGATTTGCCTCCCAGTTTTAGGAACTGGGCAGCTCTTTCTAGACTAACTTTGGCAACGTGGACTAAATCGAGGGCTACTTCGATGCTGAACAAGGAGCGTATTCCCTCGAGTCTTGAGTTCAAGATTGCAGCTTTCGCAGCAAGTTCCGTTGTGGGAAGGTCATTTGACGGTGCCGAGGGCGTGGATGGAATTGACACGGGTGTTGCAAACTTGGGGTTTGGGATATATGTTGGATCATGCAGTTGTGCATCTTTCTCCGCGTTGTCCGCTTTTGAGTCATTGGACATCATAGAAGAGAAATTGGGTAGAATGTTTACAGGAGCCATAAGTACCTTTTTAAACGAAGTGAGAAAGTCTTTTTTATCAGCTTGTCGGTTGACATTGGACATGTAGAAGGATTCCGTGGATGCTGCTTGCTCCGAAAGTTGTCTATCCCATTCCGACACGACAACTTCACAATGCTTGCGGAAGTGATTGAGTTCGTCCGTGAGATACTGATCAAGGCAAGGCTCAAATATAGTTTTAACGATTCTATTCGCCGCCTCGACAAAGTCGTCGCCAGAATTTTGAACCGGTTTGCGCAATTCCTGGGTGAAATGCAATGTCTGCACAAACGTTCCTGAAACAGCCCTAAGGTACGACTCAACGTTCCGGGAGCGGAGGTCGGTAAAAAGGGCAGTAAAGTAAGGAGTCAATATATCCTTCTCGACCTTATCTAAAAATAGTGTTGAAACCTTTGTAGGCGTAGAAAAACACATATCTATAATAGCAAGTTCCTCGTTATACGCAACATTTAGGCGAGTGAGGAATGCCTGCGAATGGCCCAACTTCACAGCATTAGTGTCATTGTCGACACAATCTGACGGGCTTCCAAAATCGCGCTTCCGTGCAAAAAGGTGATTGTGTTCAAAGAAATAATCCATAGCGGCACCGCCACCATTCAGCGTGGTCAGTACACGTGCATATTTTCGCATTTGGCCATCGATATCTCCCTGTTCGTAACCACTTTCAAATTCCCGCAGTGCAGCCATTTCAAAAAGAGATACAGCACGAGAGACTTTATCTTGTCTCGCCTCCCCGCTAATGGCAGTATCGCATTTCGCGAAGGCATGCAGTGAAGACAGCATCTGAGCTTGGTCTTCAGGCGTATCGTACACCCGGAAAACCATACTATCCATCGAGCCTCCCGTTTTGTCAATATCGTTATAGAAGGGATAAAGCACTGCATGGATCTTTCCGTATTCCTCTCTCGCCTTCCCACGTATAGATCGAACACGGGACAAAACGGATAAAGCGGCCGACCCCTTCGGGTCGATAAATTTATTTGATCCCGGTTCCGTAATGTGCTCAACACTACTAAAGGCGCTCGGTCTGGTTTTCGTCGTATTGGTAATTACAATCCCTCCCGCCGTGTCCTCTTTAAGAGGTGTACTAGACAGTGGAGCCTGGACGTGTACAGTCGGCACAGCCATAGAGAGCTGACCATGGAGATACGGATTCGACTGCTCTGCCAACTTCCTTGCCTCCAATTCATCCCAACAGCCAATCCGCTTCAGTCTTTGTACCCATCTTGAATCTTCGTACACCATCTCTCGCATTAACCTTGAAGCTCTGGCAACTCTGATAAGGTCGGTGGGTGAAAGGTAATCTAGGATGGAGGCTAATATTTCTAAAGCCGGCAATTGTCAGCAAAGCAGCTTTCCACGCCCATGCATGGCGTATGTATGAACAAAAGAGTAAACTACTACTCTCCATACTCACCAACAGGGAGGGCTGGTTTAGAAATCTCCAGCTGCGCCATTTTCAGCGAGGCAAGGATATCCTTCCGCGGCGGCCTCCCACCAGAGACCTGAGCCTTTGCAAAACCCGACATCACGGCTCCAAGAGTAGTCTGGGGTTCTGTGTCAGTAAAAAGGGCGGAAATCAATTGGGCTCGCGATCAATGTAGCGAGGTAAACGGGGGAATCATTCCCAGCTGCTGCACCCGGATCGCTGACAGTGTTGCATGGGGACGTTAGGAGCTACGTAATATCAGATCATTTATCAGATCTTTGCGGATCTGCATGGCTGGAAATGGAGCGGCGGGGACCCCATATTAAATAAAATATCCACGCGGGAGGGATTGCCCCTTGGATTCGAGATATGTGAGGGTGTCTTCGGCAAATTGGTTGGAATAGCGAAATCATGCATGAAAGTGCAGTCCGGAGGTATGGAAAATAACAAGTCCTTGTAAATACACGCTAGAAATGTTAAATAATGGAAATCTCAATACCACCTGGGCGGAGGTCGAAGAAACAAATCCAGTCCTCGCAGTAGAAGTTATGGGGCCTTAGTGCCTAACTTGATGGTCAAGGGTTAGGTCTCAAGCCTCTAAACACACAATGCCAGTTGGCATATAACATGCTTATACATTTCTGGCCTGTGAAAGGACTTTTCTTCCACACCCTTTGTAACCGAGACTGCCTGGGCGAACTCGAGATCATCTCACACCAAACCACCAGTTCTTTTCTTTTCTTTTCTCCTTTATTATTGAATGCTTGGGGAATTGCAGAGTACATCTACGCATGATGTTTTTAAAGTAGTGTACATGAAAAACATTGGTGCTCTCCTGTGCCATTAATACACATCTCCATGTGTTGTTTGGTCAACAGCGATTTTCCTTATTTCCCTTTTATCTCACTACCTTGGTTATGGTTATCCCTGCCATTCTATCAGTTTATCTACCGTATATGATGTCTGAAACCCGGAGTGTCCTGTGATGGTTGAGCGCATCAATGCGTGGCCGTGTTGGAGTCCGAATTCTCTCTTGCTGTGCTGGGAACAACATCTCGCCTCTAATAAGCAAGCCCCTTTATTTACCCCTTGACCTCCTTTCCTCGTTCTATCAACCTCCTAGCAAATGCACCGTCAACACAATAGCCAGAGAGATTCATTTGCCACATCTGTTGCATTTCTTAACGTTTTCCTTATCGTAGTCCGTCTACCTTTCCATCTATATTACATTCACAATGGGATTCCCACCCAGAGGGACGGGGACCATTTCCAAGCCTATCCTCCACGTCGAAGCACGTATCAGGAATGAGGGAAACATCATTGTCCGGACAGACATCGTGGGTGCTTAGTTTGATCCATCGATTACACACCACTCCGTCATTTCTACTCTTTTTATAATGATATCTAAACATGAACAAAATATCCTTACGCAAATAGGTCCGTGATGAAGTCACAAAGTGGCTCCTGGAAACTTTCGCTGTCCTAAGCTTGGGACAGGAGATAACCTCCTTCTGTGAGATAGTAGAGCAAACTTGTGAAAATCATTATAATTAATCCAACTGAATTGCCACAGGAATTAAGACTGACCAAAAACCAAACAAAAAATAAACAGCGGACCTAACGGATACTTACTGCCAATATCTTGACGTGATAAAGGTGATGGAATGCGCAGGGCCCCAGCAGGAGAGCGGTGCATACCGACTTGAGGACGTCGAACTGGACGTGCAAGCATACCAGCTGCATGGATCTGAGAGCATAAACGACTCGCCGCAGCCGACGTATGCTGATGTCAATGGGAAAAGAGATGAGGAAGGTCCGCAGGCACGGATTATCAGCCTACCAAGCAAAGAGTTGGATGGGTTGTGGGAATCGTATGTTATCAGTTTTTGTTGCCATGGGGTCCCATTAATTTCACAGGTGTTGGTTGTATTGACAATGAATCACTGCGTTGAAATAGACTTCTGTTTGATGAGCTGATACCGTCGACATTGCTTCGAGCGGTGAACAGGATGCGTATGTCATCGTTATTATTCTTAAAGAAGAAAAGGAAAGAACAGGTCTCAGGATCAATGGTGTCTGTGGCGTGGCTAATAGGAATAGTTATGTTTTCCCGGAGGAAACTCAACACCTGGACGATCAATTGGAACAGGCTCATTCTCCTCTATGGTCCACCAGGGACTGGAAAGACGAGTCTTTGGTGCGTATAGTTCTATTCATAATATACCCTAATTTCTCATTATTAAAAGATACTAACTTAAACTTCAGCCGTGGATTAGCACAAAAACTGTCAATCCGCCTGGGCAAACAATTCCCCCAGAGCAAGATGGTAGAAATCAATGCGCACTCGCTAGGGAGTAAATTTTTCAGCGAAAGCGGCAAGCTAGTTGCACGAATGTTCGATAACATTGAGAATATTCTTGAAGAGGAACCGGATACTTTTGTATGTGTGTTCATCGACGAGGCGGAGACATTGATTGCCAAACGGGAACAGAGCGTGCACGGAAACGAGCCTTTTGATGCGATGCGTGCCGTGAACGCACTTTTGACGGCGCTGGATCGGCTCAGACACAGGCAGAATGTGGTGGTACTCTGCACTAGTAACCTTATCACGGCGCTGGTGTGGGACCTTTTCTTATGATAAAACTAGAGAATACATCCTCTCTTTAGTGTTTTCCCTGCTGATACAAAAAGAACAGGATTCCGCATTCCTCGACCGGGTGGACATTAAACAGTTCATGCCCAACCCGTCCAGTAGAGTGATCTACGAAATATTCCGAAGCTGTCTGGAGAACCTCAATCACTGCGGTTTGATACACGGCGCGACCTTCGATGTGGTCCGCGTCGACCAGGACAATCCAAACACACCGTTGAAATACGTCTCATGCCCGGCAGAAACACTTGATCTCCCCAGCCACACGGAGATGGTTCTCTGGTACAAGCTGTTTCCTGAATCCGTACCTAGACGATTGGCAGACGTAGCTGAAGCGAGCGTGGTAAATGATACTAGCTATCTCCCCCGGAAGTCATATAAACTATTAACAAGCATTATTAGGGATTGAGTGGCCGTAGTCTGCGCAGGCTTCCGGCCCTATCGTTGGTGCTACACTCAGACTATTCCAAGTGTACTATTGAGCAGGCCGTGAGAGCTTTGGCGCTGGGAGTGGAAGAGGAGAAGCGGGCCGGAGTAGAGGCAGCATCAGGAGCAAGCGGACGATGTGCTGCCAGCATGCCAGTGAGCTAGAGCGCGCATGTATATTATATTTCCATATCCAGTTGCCCAGGTAGCTAGGACGAAGGGAAGCAGAACACTACAAAGCAGAGATAGATATGGTATTGTAATCATCATACACCTTCATCTTCGCGGTTTTCGCCGAGATCACATGACAAAATAATATTATCCGCCAATCATATGACTTCTGTTGTCACCGGCGCCAAGCCCGTTGCCGCGCTAACCCGATACAGCCAAAGCTACTTGTATGTCCAAACCTCAAAACTTCCACTCCGGAAATCACATATCGGTCTCAACGACAAACGTACCCTCTCTTCTCCCCGCATCAGCACCCCCTCCGGCCCTTCCCACTGGCGGGAATTCCATCCTCTGAATTGAAGAAAAATGTTCGCCAGATCTGTCGCGCGCAATGTGCCTACGAAGGCCATCTTCGCTCGACAGACGTTCCGCCAGACAACCGCAACAACGGTAGTGCCCATCCACCCGCACAATCAAACATAATCTCCAGGTCCAATTGGACTTCCCAGATCGCCGTCATTCTATCAATGGCATTCTTACGTTGTTGATTATATTGTTGACACCCCATCTTCTCTAGCGAGCCTCCTCCACATCTTCTGGGTCCCGCGCTGAATCACCGTTCTACCTGACCCTCTCCGCCTCGGCTGCCACTGTGACCGCTGTCGGCGCGGTGGCATGGTATTATCATCTCTATGGCCAAGAGGCTTGTGCTATGACGCCCGCTGAAGAAGGGTAAGATTTTTCTTGGAGGATTGTTGAACAGGAATTGACAATACATGTGAAATTGTTCGTCAAATATATTAACACTTGCTTTTCTCCAGGTTACATCCAGCTAAATACCCATGGGAACACACAAAATGGACAAAGACATTCGACCACCAAGCGTAAGTAGGCCATTGGCTCATATGCAGGCTACCAATTACCTCTCAGTTTAATTCTCCCACAAAACACAAATAAAAAACAAATGCACAACGAGATGTAGCTGATTCGTACAATCGATGATATATAGTCTCCGCCGTGGCTTCCAAGTCTACCGCGAAGTATGCATGGCTTGCCACTCTCTCACTCGTGTGCCATGGCGCGCATTCGTCGGCACCATCCATACCGTGGACGAGATGAAAGCCATGGCCGAGGAATACGAGTACGATACCGAACCCAATGACCAAGGCGAAATCGAGAAGCGGCCAGGCAAATTGTCCGACTATATTCCCCCGCCCTACAAGAATGACGAGGCTGCCCGCGCCGCAAACAACAGCGCTCTACCACCAGATTTGAGTTTGATAGTCAAGGCCCGCCATGGCGGCTGTGATTACATCTTCAACTTGCTAACTGGATATCCCGATGAGCCGCCTGCGGGTGCCACAGTACAGGAGGGATTGAACTTTAATCCCTACTTCCCCGGAACTGGTAAGAAATAACGATGCTGAATTCTCCGAGAGTGTAAATTTTTACTTAGGGAAATTGATATCAGGAATCGCAATGGCCCGCGTCCTCTTCGATGGCCTTGTCGAATACGAAGACGGCACACCCGCCACCACCTCGCAAATGGCCAAGGACGTAACGGAGTTCCTAAACTGGGCGGCAGAACCGGAGATGGATGAGCGAAAAAAGATGGGCCTCAAGACTCTTGCCATCACTGCTATGCTCACTGCCATCAGCATCTGGGTTAAGAGATATAAGTGGGCACCTATCAAATCGCGGAAGATCGTGTATAGTCCGCCCGTTGGGAGACCGCCCATTGGCAAGCGCTAGTTGTTTGGTTGGTTTTTCGTTCGTTTCTGAATTATGCTCGTTTTATTTTCTTTATTGTACTTTGTACTTTGTATAGAAGGTGTAAGGGGAGGTTGTCGATTGTGGACGGGGAGATAATGGATAGATGGAAAGTCATACTTGTACCAAAACACAGAACCAGATCAAAAAAGCCCTCAACCCCCTGCCTTTTTTGCAGATAAAAAATTATTTGGATGCTTCTAAAGATGGAAAGAAAAGGAACGAGGAGAGGAGGAGAGGACCACTACATTCCACACCCAAGTCACAAAAAAACCCCGCAGAAATATCACCGGAGCATATGCTTTTTCATTTTACCATTTCATATGCACTTTTTTCTCTACCATTTTTTCCATTTGCTGTATTGTAAAAGTACATACACACTCCCCTTATTTCCCTTCTCTTTCCTTCCCTTCTTTCACTCTCTCCTCGCACTCTCTTTCGCTCCATCCTCTATACCCATCCATTTCTAGAACGAGAATCTTGTTTCAATTAGTTCGTTTTCACCTATATTCTCGTCTCCCTTATCTTTAGCGATGATTATTGTATTAGCGTGGTTTTATCCATCTGTCTTCTGACTGGATTAGTAATCCCATTCGTCCACTCACCCGCCCACTGCCGCTCCAACATATAATCATCCTCATATTTTTCCATTTCCTAGTTTCCTTGGAAGAAGGCGTCGTCGATACCATTCCACTCCCCTTCTATTTTCTGTTCCCCGGCAATATAATGTCACAACGATAGGTAACAACGGCAGGGGTGAGGAAGCTCAAGCGTCGATGAAAACAATGGCTAGATGAAAATGGGTGGAAAGATAGAGATATACTGTATATATATATATATATGTATTAAAACTTTGGCCTGGGCGGACCCGTTTTCTTTTTCTTTTTCTTTTCTTTCTTGTTATTAAAGTTAAGCGCTAACTAAGTTGAGTTCAGGGACATCGCCAAAGTTTGTTTGCGATTGACTTTCACGGAGAGGGAGCGATGAACTTTGTATAATAGATAGATAGATGGCGCTTTTTCTTCTTCTTCTTCTTCTTCTTCTTCTTTTTTTTTTTAATTTCGGTCTGGGTACTAATGGGATGGATAGCTTTGTTTCTTCTCTTCTGTTACCTCGCTCTACCCGGATCTTCGAATGCTCTTTAGTTGATCTGACGACATGTACGACAATAAGAAAATGAATCCTGAAGCTCTAGGAAAAAATATCCAATTTTTAATAGAAGAAAACGCACGAGTACTCCTGTAATATTTCATTCAGCTATCAGAAACCACGGGGACGGGGACAAAATACTTAAAACGCCATATCTCAATTCATAATTCTACATTGATCAAGTTTAAAAACCAGGCAGAGGGCATCTGCCGAAATCTGCGGCCAAAGCTTGACAAATAAACAAGGGAAAGGAAAAAGAAACTGAAAAGGAAAACATAGAAGCATCATCCTTCATGCTTCAATCACCCTCTCCCCATCCCCAAAAATCCTTTTTGCAAAATGATCATACCACCCCCACAACCCCACAACCAAAAACTTCTGGGTCGCCACCACCCATCTAGGCGCTCTCCCATTTTTATCCGTAGTCAGCGACGAAAGCATCATTACAAGTATCACGGGCGGTGCCCACAGTGTCACCGTGGTATACCTGCCGATCTGCTGGCGGGTGGTGGTGACTCGGTACGTTGTTATGGAGGAGAGGTAGGCGCAATATTCGGCTGGGAGATCGTGCTCGCGTGCGCCAGTGACTAGGAGGTTTTTATAACGTGGGGATGGCTGGGCCGGGGCGTTGGCTGGGTGGACGCGGGTGTAGGGTTTGTTGTTTGGAGGTGGATTCGTTGCATGGGCATTTTCCTTCGCATTCCCAAGAGGACTTACGGTTGTGTTGTCCGGTTCTTTCTTGTGGGACGGATAGAGGAGGGTGTGCGCTTTAAACGGCTTTGCGTCTTGAAGCGGGTGGGTTGGGACAGGGTCCCGCGGGATCGTACGATTCGGGACCGGTAACAGTCCGTCACGAGTATCGATGTAAGAGGACCCCCCCCCTTCCGTGGCGATGATGCGCGCGTAGTCGGAAAGGGTGACTTCGTAGACAACACCGACGAGCGGTTTGTCCCATGTTTGGTCCGATCTATGGATCGGGGCTTGGTTGTCATCTCGGTATTTCGTTCCCGCCATGCAGGGTTCAACGTAGGGGAAGCCAGGAAGGTCAAATGTGAGGCTGAGGCCAGGGACGTAAACATTCAGTTGCGAGACAGGCAAAATACCGCGGGTTTTGCGGAATGATTGGGCACTCATATTCGAGCCGTAGGCTAAGTACAGAACCGTTTCTTCAGGTTTATGAGCTTCCACATCCGGTCCACTGGTTTTGGCCTCAGACGAGTGCTTCGCCTTTGGCCCGTGATCGTGAAGTAGGGTGTTGATATCCAACGCATGGTCGTGGGCGGCCGCTTGCAAACGCTCTTCTGATATCTTGGGGATTATGATGGACGGATCATAGGTCTTTCCTTTTCCCAGATTGAGCAATTTTGCCAATCGGTTCGTTGCCTTTGTAGAAGTCAGGTTATCAACAGTGTCAGGCTCAGGGAATGGCTGCTTCTGCAGCATGTCTTTATCAGTGGGTTTTCTCATGATGACGGGGTTTGGGGTTTTCTGGGGTCGAGAATGAGCTACTAATGCTGGATGGAACTTCTTCAAGCTCCTCAAGATCACTTCCTATGGGAAAGGTGGAGTAAGCTGATTTATAAGGCAACAACATCCATGACCGAACGTTCAGCCATTTAGCACTCTTCGCGCATCTAATAATAGTAATAACCCATTTTGTCCATGGTTACCCCAGCAAAGAGGTTTGATCTCTGGCCTCCCAGTAGTTAGCGCAAATCGGAGCGGATTTGATTCATCCGTTTAGGAGCCAAGGCTGGAGCGGAATCAGGGCAAACCCGAGATCAGAAAACAAATTCACGAAGGACTTATCCCAGATGTTCTCCACCCTACCCGATATAGATCATTCCTGAACATAAGTTGGAACCTTGTACACTTCCATCCTATCAGAGTTTCATGAATCAGCAAAAAGGTACGAGAGTTGAAAGTTTCAAAAGAAGCTATTCCAGACCGTTCCAAAATCTTGTAACGTTTGCTCTTCTGCCCTGCGGGGGATCAAGCAACAGCAGGTTGGCTGCTAAGGGAGATGAATAGGTGACCAGCAACCGTGAAACCATTTCCACCTCATGGTATTTTACCACCGTATGTACCCCGGAAAATTGATGAATCCGGCCCAAGTTATGGATGGCATTCTGCTGTTGTATTCTACAGACAATTAACTGCGTGGATGTTTGCGGATGTTTTTTGTACCCCTAAGAAAGCTACAACAGTAGCTTGTTTGAAATTTCTTCTTTCCATTGCCTGAGGGATGGTTGGATGTTGTTTGTTCGATTATATTGAGCGCTGTCGCTGTCGCTGTCGCTGTCGTTGTCGCTGTCGTTGTCGCTGTCGTTGTCGCTGTCGTTGTCGTTGTCGTTGCCGTTTGTTTTATCAGCAAATCACCAGCTTATTGCCATCTGCGTTGTTGTTGCGGCTCGAACTCCTGCCATTTCCTCGCCCAACGCTTTGCTTGATGGTTTCGCTTTTCAGTTTATTTGCTCCTTTCCCGCAATGCCTTTCCGCTAGCTATGTAGCATCATATTATTCCCTATACGATACATACACTGCTGCAATGCGGTTTGTTTAATATACCCTTTTGTATTTGTTGCTATCTCATCCCCTTTCAAGCATCTCTCGACATGGCCATCCCCAATAAGACGGCTGCTTCTGGAGGGGAATTCTCTCTGGACAGATTGGTAGCATACCTACAAGGAGCTATAAGTAAGCTCAGGGAAAACGACCTGCTGGTGTCAGTTCACTTAACTCTCAGGACTTTTGGTCGAGCGAAGCGTGAGGGTGACTAGCTCACTAACAATGTCTTTCCTATACAGTATTCCCATAGATATAATCAATGGCTTTCTAGGATCATTCGATCGTCTTGCCGAGGCTGGTTTTCCACAGTTGATTGAATTGTTCGATGGAGAAAATAGAGGAAAAAGCTCGAGGCTCGATCTCGTTTCTTTCCACTGCATGCTCCATATTCTCCTTCGAGGTCCTCCATGTCTTGCTCGAGACAGGGGGTTTTATCTTTTTCTGGTCTGCGTCTTCTTGATATCTACTGGATGTGCATTGAACTGTTCGCGTATCTAATATTTTGTGAAGAAATCTATGAGAGATCTCACAGATGCCATCCAAAGGTCTCCGCGTTATACTCTGGTTGTTGCTTCTCGTCAGCGCAAATCACTCATCGGACAAAAGGCCTTCAAACATTTGTTACACACTTTTGTCAGTGGTGACGTCGACGCGCCTCGAGAATGGGTAGGTCGTTGACGTTTTTCGTACTACTATTTCGTGAAATGCTAACGTGTGTGTGGCCAGAGTGGCCAACTCATTCTCGAGTTGGTTCGGAAATCTAAGGATAATGGGAGCCTGTTAGTGTTGGGCGGTGAGGAGAATATGTTAAGTTTCTCTCCTTAAGGGCAAACCAGCTCGTGCACACGATCAGCTAACGTGTTCTTAGCCGAAAACTTGGTGAGACTGTTCTGAGCGAACCGGAATACGTTCTACGATTGTTGGCTGCTGTAATTATCCAAGATATGGTTGCTTCACAGGTCAAACCCTGTATCTTTTGGCCTCCGGGCACACCGCAACCAGTCATGGACATGTTTTCATCAGGAACCCTGATCGATTCAAGCTGGATACAGAGGTTCAATCACTTTGCTTCTGGTCGGGATTCACAGCCAAGACCAGATATTCAAAATACGTGGGTGGATACGAAAGCTGTCAATTATATCCTTTCTGACCCTGCTATATAGGATGCATATCGTCCAATCTATCAATACTGGAACATGGAGTATTGGTTACAGAAACTGTTCGATTGGGATATTAGTTTCGCGTATCCTCACCATCATAATAACTGAAGACAATCGGTTCCGGTTTATGAAGATTCGTCTCGACCATATTGACAAGCTAGTACAGCACGCAGGAGCCGCAGTGCTTGATGTCTACCTCTACGACAACGGGGTTTATATGACAAATGGTTTGACGGAAAAGGCAGACAAGGTCTCAATGGTATTTGAAAATCAGATCCAAGGGATTGGGGTTCGCGATGTTCTTGAACAGCAATGTCAATCCGTCAAGGGAGCCATGGGCCAATTCATGGGTGCCGGCGGTGTCTCTAAGGTTGCCGACCGAAGAATCTCACCAGAATCTTTTTTGTGTACGACGGGGGTAGTAAGGGATTCAATCACTTTAGATCCCAATCTTGGTAAATCTACAGCACAGAACCGGAAGAAAAGGCCATCCTTTGCGGCCATCATGCTCTCCTTTGACGAGGAAGCCATACATGGTTCCAGTGTCCATTTCGATTTAAATGCGTCCCACTCCCAGAATGAAAGAGATCAGGAAAGCCCGCCTATGCGAGGGAAGCAGCTGCCAAACAATAATGTTGATTGTTTGGGCCTCGTAGATAGTTGGAGATCATACCCGTCCAAAGTTGACGAGATCCCAGAACCTGGATATCCTCCTGGGAGCAGTCCCTACGACCGGCAAGGAAATCCAAGCCCCCAAACAACCCCCAGCATCGTAAATCTACCCAATGGTCAAGATCAGTTTTTCAATGGAAACAGTGTTGTTGAGCCGCAGATTAGTCAGGAAGGGGGTGACACCCAGTCTGTGCTGCCAAGCCTTGCACGACAAGCACTTCGACTCCGGCTCGAACCTTACAACTCCAACTCATCAACAGATAGTGTTGGACAACACGATCAAGGTGTGGAAAGCGGCCTGGACTTGGGTGGCTTGGTGGCTGAGAAAACGTCCACTGTTGATGACCCCACCGTTGACCCTCAACGACCAGCCGACATCCTGGTCGATAAGAATCCCAACCCAGTTAATCCGATAACCATGGGCCAGCAGATCAATGTTCCCCAAAAGCACGTATCTGGAATTCATAATGAATTAGATGTTCCCAATCAAACTGCAGGCAACCCGAAACTCAAACGGCCTCATAACCGGATCAGCATATCCAAAGCTAATCCACTAACTGTTGACTGGGACCAGGATCTCCGGGTGGAGGACAATCTGCTTGGTCTACCAGCAAGTTCTTCTAAGAAGCTGAAAGGAACCCCCCCTCAGCCCCAGGGCCCTGCCAAACCCTCCAAATTAAAGAGCGCCTCATGTTCAACAAAAAAGAAGAATAAGAAACTGGCACAAACCCTCCCCCTGACACCACATGAAGCTCGAACGTCAGCTAAAAGTAAGACGAAGAAAACTGGCCGTCAAGTTACGAAAACCTTGACATCCGCTCGTCAGCGGCGAGCTGCGGCTGAGAAAGCAAATCGGAAGCTCGCATTAGCCAACGAATATGAAAATGCAACTTATGACTTCGATGATCCGATCGAATCAAGTCCACCAGAAGACTCGATATTGGTTGCCAACCGGGATAACTGGACCGGAAGCACAGACGTAGTTTCACCTGGGGTAACTCCTGAAGATGTTCAGGTGCAGCCCATGCATTCTATCGAGGGTGTCGTCGACCTTAAACCAAATCCTGTGATGCCAGAAACTTCCAATCCGGTTGAAATTGTTGGATCTGAGCAGACCACGAACAATAAGGAGACTGGTCACTCTGACTTCCTCATTGGACGGGTAACCGACCACAAGCTTGATTTGCAAGGAAGCAATGTTCCCAGAAGGGAAGCCAGCACCTCCGTTCAACCAAACGAAGAGGGAAATTCCAAAACCCTATCCGGTATTGACATTCCGCAATGGAAAACGGTTGGTGAGTGCGGGGAAAGCAATTGGGGAAAGAGACTTTCCAAAGCGCTAGCGAAAGCAGGGATGCTTTCGTCAAATTCTTTGATAGACAGCAAGAATGTTGATGGAGAAAGCAGCAACAATTTGATTGATGGCACGGGGTGTCAAGTGGGGAAAAATGTATCGGAAATTTCGAAAAACGTTTCTCAGTTCATCGCACGGCAGGCCGTTGAACATGACAAGCTGGGCCACTCAGGGGTCCAGGTCGTGGAAAATACAGAAGGGTCCATCAAACCAAATGACGGAACATACCAGAGTGTACGGGCAGGGAGTCAACCTGAGAAACATCCTACAAAGCCAAAAGTACAAAGTCAACTTACAGCTGTTGCTGAACTTGACAGTATCCCGAATCCTAATAGTAATGGTCGAAATAAAGTTGAAGGAAACAAGAGTGATGAACTCCTAACAATGGCAAGAGCGCTTAGAAAAGTTCAGGTTGTAGGTTTCGACTCAAAGGGGCCTAAAAATCAATGCGCCATATCCGACGGCGCATCGGGCAGAAATTCGACGAAATCTGATACCATTATAAATAACACTCACGAAAAAGAAGAAGTTTACCTTGGAAAAAAGTGTTCAGAAAATTGTGCAAACGATATAGTCGAAATCGACGACCTGGATGAGGTGTCCCTGATTCCAACGTCGGATTGTCGTAGATTGGTGGTCGACAATCAATACAGCAACGAAGGCTCCTATGTCGATTCTATCTCGATTTGTGAAGTTACTCACGTTGAATTTCGACCGCAAGGCCGGGATGTGCAACCAATCCCAACTCAAAGTCAAAGGGTAGATGAGAATGGCAGCCCCCAGCCCCTCCACAGAGATCTCCACGCAAACAGGCTCGCAAGTAGTAATATCCCACCTGGTGTTGAACTTCCAATAGAGATTTCGGGAACATCACAGCTATCAGAGGCTTCGGTTTCTCTGTCTGAAGAGGAAGTTAGGATTGCGCATCGTATGTCGCCATGTTCTGTTCCTGCCGGTACATACGTAGATCCCATCAGAGCTCAAGATCTCTCCGTGAGCAATGAGAGCTCCCTCAATTCCAAGTCTGAAACTTCGTCTCAACGAAGAGACAAACCGCCAAACAAAAAGGATCTAAAAACGAGAAGTATTTTTGCGATTCAAGATCAACCAAGTCCAAGGGCAAGTTCGTTTTGGAGAAGGAGTACTCCGAGCACATTCGCTAGACATCTCAGGGGGCAGCAAAAAACAAACCGGAAGAATAAATCACAGAAAAACAAAAAGACTCGCAGGCAAGTGCTAACAATAAAAAAGGCTTCGCGGAAATCGAATGCCATGCCTTTTGCAGAATCAAGTAGTGAACTCGACCATGATATCAATAGTTTGGGGGATGAAGTATACGACACGCGTAGCAGCAACTGGGACTCAGTCGAGATTTCCTCTGGGTCAAACTCAAACCTGTCGGATACTCTAGTGGAAGAGTGTAAGGATGTGGAATCCGAGTGGCAGAATGCGCTGCGAGCCACCCAAAAGACCAGCCTCGACATTCTGCTAGAAATCAGCGGTGTAAGTACGAAAATGAAATTGAAACCGTGCTGCCTTCATTGAACCTGCTAACCCAGTTGTCTCAAAGCGTCTCATTCGACACCTGGTGGATGAAGAGCAAGCCATCATCAAGGTCGTCGACACCTATAGAAAAGAAGGGGCCACATTGATACAGCAACTGGAGCAGAGATACGGCGAGCAGCTTGTGGAATGTGAGAATCGGCTGCAACCAATCAAGGAAGAGCTTATTGGGCGTTACGATACGATGATGACTCGTCTCAACGGTGATAGACAAAGCCTTTTGAAGCAACCGCCAATGAGGGATCTTTCCGCAGCTGTCCACAAACGGAAAAGAGTGCTTGTGCAAATCGATGCCGTGATGAAAGCATACGAGACTGACGCATAAAGCTCCCAACTCAGAACTATGCTCTGGAGGAGCGAGTTGTCAATTTTGCGACCACTCTTTGACTTCAGCTGGTCTTGGCATAAATTGTCGTTTCCGCGTCTGACTGCGGGACGCCATGGGATCCTAGGAGGGCGAGAAATGTTTCAATGGCAGAGGAGGGACGGGGGATTTCTCTTTATCGCTTCTGGGGGATAAGGTCTTGTTTGCGGATGCATATTTAACTCGAGTCAAACCTGCTATGGCTGTGTTGAGTTAATGAGGCAAATCCCTGTGGTGATTATTGTTACGGATAAAATGGAGGCGTGGGGGATCAGGATCAACTAATGGGGGATAAAAAGGGATCATGTCATGGCCATGTTGCTGGTTGTTAAAAGGCAGAACTAGTATTGTTCTATATATATTTTCTCTATATTTTATTCCGAAGCGATCAAATGACGTTTTAACTACCTTTCTGGATCTCAATTGTTGAACTTAAAATTGTGGGCTTGAAATCTAAATTGGAAAAAAAAAAAAAAAAAATCCCCGAAGGTCATCGCTCGGTGAGATTACTATCAACCCCAGGTCCAAAGCGCTTGAACGATCAAGACGACGAAATATCTAATGAAGCAATGAGCCGAGGCCGTCTTCTCGACAATATCTCTCTTCACTTTATATCCTATGGTCAACATTTGCAGTTGACCTCCCTGTCCAACCACTAACTAAATTTGTCAAATAATCCTCCGTCTTCGTCGCTGTCAACTGCCCCGCCATGGCTACCCAGGTGAGTTCATGAGCTGCGCCCGGCCGCAAATGACCCAACTAACCCGGAATAGTGGTATATCGAGAATAAAAATGTCGGAAACACAGAACTTGCGGAAGACTGGCGAAGTATGTTCCATTCATTAACACTTTGTTGCTTCAACATCTCGAAGCACCGTGCCGCTCCCCGCCATTCTCCGTCTCAGCCCAACTCAGTTAACGAACACACCACACAACAGTTCGGGGTTACAACCCTCTTACCCCGCCGAACCTGCTACAACATGAGATCCCTCAGACGCCCGCATCCAAGCAGACGGTCATAAGCTCGCGCAAGGAGGCCGCCGCTGTCGTCAATGGCGGAGACCCGCTCAACAGACTCCTAGTAATCATCGGGCCATGCTCCATCCACGACCCAGACGCAGCCATGGATTACTGCGACCGCCTGCTCCAGCAGAAGGAGAAACACAAGGATGAGCTACTCATCGTCATGCGCTCCTATCTCGAGAAACCGCGCACCACCGTCGGCTGGAAGGGCCTCATCAACGACCCAGACATTGACAACTCCTTCCAAATCAACAAGGGCCTGCGCGTCTCGCGCCAGCTCTTCGTCGACCTGACGGATAAGGGCATGCCAATCGCCAGCGAAATGCTCGACACCATTTCCCCGCAGTTCCTCGCTGACCTCCTCTCCGTCGGCGCCATCGGCGCACGCACCACGGAGTCTCAGCTCCACCGTGAGCTCGCAAGTGGCCTGTCCTTCCCTGTCGGCTTCAAGAATGGCACGGACGGCTCTCTAGATGTCGCCGTCGACGCCATCGGCGCCGTCAAGCACCCTCACCATTTCCTCTCCGTGACGAAGCCCGGCGTCGTGGCGATTGTGGGCACGGATGGCAATGAGGACTGCTTCGCGATCCTGCGGGGTGGGAAGAAGGGAACCAACTACGACGCCGCGAGCATTGCGGAGGCTAAGGCGAAGTTGGCTGAGAAAAACCTGAACCTGCGGTTGATGGTTGACTGCAGCCATGGCAACTCGCTGAAGGATCACCGTAACCAGCCTAAGGTAGCCGCTGTGTTGGCGGAGCAGATTGCAGCTGGGGAACAAGCGATTATGGGGGTTATGATTGAGAGTAACATTAACGAAGGTGTGTGATTTTATCGAAGTCTTGTCCCTTCTACGTCTTATTTTATTTTTATTTTTATTTATTTATTTTTTTTTTTCGCAGCGCTGGTTTTGAACACATGATCTAACCTCGCTTTTCCTTTGATCTCTGTAGGAAACCAAAAAGTCAGTCCGCAGGGGAAAGCAGGTCTCAAATACGGAGTCAGCATCACAGATGCTTGCATTGGCTGGGAGGATACGGAGAGCGTATTACAAACCCTCGCGGACGCGGTGCGACAACGACGGGAGCACGCACAAGTTGTGTCATAAAAAAAAGAAAGGGAAAAAAAAGACGAAAATATGAGTGGTTTTAAGACATTTTGCTTATATTCTCCTTCGATGATGGGACCCTTTTTATTCCCCTGAGTTTTTTCTCCATCTGTTTCGAATTTGTCTGCTTGTTTATGCTTTTCTTCCTTCTCTCCTCTTGGTCGATCAAAACCAAAGGGGCTAAGGAATAATAATAAAAAGGAAGATATACACATGTGTGGCTGTTTAGAACTTCGGAACGACAAAATATTGAATTCATCACAAATGCGTTACATTATACATTACTTGAACGGGTCTGTTTTCTCTCAGAAGAGTCCCAGCCACTGTGAATAGAAGAACCGGACATAAGAACAGGATTGCTTAAACAAAATTTGCTACCTATATCTCTTTAGAAGGGCGAAATGACGATGCGGGTTTTGAAAGGGTAACCCAGAACAATGTGAGAAAAATTGGGAATGGGCAGGAATGAGTTGAGGATGAGAGATTGAAGTTATATTAGGCAAAGGGTGAGTGGCAGTATGAAGTAGCTTCATCATGGAAAATGTGTAGTTACGGTGCGTTGGAGGGTTAAAGCCGACAAAGTAAAGGAGAAAAAGGAAAATGATATCAAAAACCGTCCTACCTAACACCAGCTCTAAAATCTCAAGCATAAAGCTAAATAATACCGATCCAATCCCAATATCAGCTTCGGTTCTCATCGCCAAGTGATCCTGATCACAAGTCCGATTCTAGATAGTCGATGTACTTAGGTACGTATATGTATGTATATACAATAACCTTCTATTCAAATCAAGAGATTTAGTGCCCCATATCCCTCCGGATCCTGTTCCCATTCGTCCGTGTACCAGTGTTATCATCGTGACTACTTTCGGTGACAGTATCACCACCCGTATCAGGAGAATTAATAATCGCATGCGCGGCTGCCCGTCCCGGAATCCACGGTTCGTCAAGAGGCACGACCAAATTTGGATTGACATACTTCTTCAACTTGGACGCAAGGTCTTGACCGCGGAAGCGGAGAGGGACAGCATCTCGATCCCACTGTGAAGGCGGGTAAAGTGTTGAATTAGGTGTGAGTACTTCATCCTGATCAACCGTAGCGTGGGAGCGGTCGATGGAGCGTAGCGCTATGAATTTCATGAGCGGGTCGTAGGTGCGAGAGAAGAAGTAAAAGACCCAAACGGTTCCGACGAGTAAGGGGATGACGAGGATGGAGCGTTTGACGGCGGTCGAAGGCCAAGGAGTACGGATGATGCCAGTCGAAGCCGATGAGCCTTAGAATGACGCGGGAGCAAATCATGGCCCATGCGCGGCCGGTGCTGTGTTGCTGGTGATCCATGGCGTAGGAGCAGTTGGTATTTGTAGATGAAGCGGCCGATGGAGAAGTAGATGAGGCCGAAGAGGCAGACGATGTACGAGCTGGGGAAGACACTATACACGACAGTGATTATGAAGATGAGGATTGTTTGTGGGAGCGCAAGGCCGTAGCTGAACGTGGGGGGCTTGTCGAGCCCGGCGTAGTCGCGGGGTGTGCGCGCGCTAAAGCGTTGGAATGGATAAAGAAACACACTGCCAAATTCGAGAAGACGGAAGGGGAAAAGCCCTAAGCCCTGGAGGACGATCAGGTTGGTGTAGAAGGGGGCAAGTGTTTCCAAAGAGCGAGCGAGAGCTAAGGCAATCGTGGTCGTATCTCTCAAGACATCGCGGAGGTTTTCGAAGAATCGGTAGAAGTTGGAGGCAGTTGCAAAGACCGTGAAGACGAGGAAGAGGTTGAAAAACGTGAAGAAGAAATTCTTAGAGATAAGAGATAACTCGACGTCTCCCTGAGATGTCATGCCTTGAAGGTTGCCCAGCCCTTGAACAATCAGATATTAACGAACAGGTTTGCGGATAGACAGGGGGGTGGATGTGACAAAACTTACAATCATAAATAAATGGAACGGCAATTGTCATTAGGGAGAGAATGAGGGTAGGCAAACCGGTTTGCACAAGAGATTTGGTTATGGCATGTCGTGAAAGAAAATCCGCAAGACTCGGAATCACCTTTTCAATGGTCTCTAAATTGAGCAGGTAGGCAAGCGGGATCAGGAGCACAGACCAGAACACGGTGAGTACCCCAATGAGCAATGTGATAGACCAGCCTCGCAGCATCCGGCTACGCCGAGACAGGTATGTGTGTTGCCAAACAACGTCTGCAGGAGCAGGTGCTAAGTTCGCAACTAGTTGCATGGGCCAAGGGTCGAGAATAGCCTGAACAGCCATCTGGCATGCAGCAATCGACTCCATGGTGACGAAAGCGAGAGGTATAGGCTCACATTCCTTTTTGCGTATTTCCTCAATTCTCTCGTCGAGTTGCCGCAGCTTTTCCTCATAGAAATCAATTGCGTCGATTGTTTTGAACCGCAGGTTTAACGGGCCATACCAGATGCGTGTTGTGGGTCGCTTGAGGTTATAGCTAGACACATGCGCTCGCGCAGATTCCTCGGCGGAAAGCAGGCGGGACCGCTCGCTGTTTTCGTTCGAGTCGAAGGTTGCTGCCATCCGGTCGGTTTGAACAAGCGGTAAGGCGATTCCCCGGGTATCGGATCTTTGCCATCGATAGCCAACATGTTTAGTCCATGCTTCCTCCAATTTCTGGAGAATATTCTTCCTCGCTTCCATCAGGCCATCCAGCTCGCTCCAGTCCCGGCAGAGCATAACCTGATCCACTTTCCCAATCTGAAACTGTTCGATGCACTGCGTAATCTTTTCCTCGGAGCGTAATTCGGGAGGAATCCCCGATAAACGAAGTGTCCTATCCGTCAGCGTCGTTTGGGCACCTAGCCATTGCTGGCGGATCTGGATGATTTTATTCGTGTGGTCGATGAGAAAAGATATGCCAATGCCGGTGAAAATATAGGCGAACACAACATGCATCCATAGGTATGTCGGGTTGGCCTTCGACTTTTGTGGATCATCTTTATGATCCTCCGGCATGTCCCAAGGATAGCCATATTTTTTCGTATATATATAGTGTATCGGGAGTATGACCGCAAGAGTGAAAAAGAACACCACCCTCAAGAATTTAATGGCGTACGTATAAAATGACAAAAACTGTAGTAGAAGAACATGGTGAGCACCACCATCATCATATCCTCAAAATATAGTCCTCGAATAGTAAAGAACTAAGAACTAACCACAAACGCATCTAGTCCAGCCGATGCGAGAACCTCATCATCCGAAATCTTATGGACGATCGGGATCCAGCCGAACAACGTATCCGGCAATTCAGGCAATCTTGACGCAGCCGTTCTCAGCCTCCTCCGCGCAGCATATAGTTCTCTCCACTTCGGTCGAAGAATCTTCACCAGGCAATTAGCATTTTCCCACGCCAAACAAACAAGTTCAAAGAAACAAAGGGGGAGAGATAGAAAATTGCCAAATCTAAATCTTACACAAAAGCCCATAAATGCAAGAAACCCAACAGTGCAGCTGACGATAACCTGCGTCAACAGGTCACGCTGACCCTTGGTCTGATCCTGGAATCTATGCTCGCCATCTCCGCCACCATCGCCGGAACTATTTTTCCCTGTCGCGAGGGACAGCGCCGAAGAGACTGTGGTAGTCGCGGTCACAGATAGCAATGAGGATAACATTAGGTTGGGCCGAGAGGGGGTAATCGTCGCCGTCGTCAAGGACGAAGAGGAACTGGCCCGTAGCTATTGAAGAGTTGGATCCTGCAGAAGGTTTCCTAGAGATGGCATGCCTAATCTTCGTTAGGTTGACTCATATTCCCACTTTTCGCGGTGATCTTAGGACAAGCCACTATCTACATCAGCAGTATCGGTATCACTGGGTTGTTGGCTGGTTGATGCGATGCATTTCTGTCCAGTATGGACTTCTAAATATGGATAACTGGAACTAACTATTTAACTAACTAGTTAATTAGTTAATGACCGACATGACTAATAGCTGACTCATTTCAATAACCCAACGCGGATTGTTAGGTAGCGCTCCTACCGAGCACTGCATTACCAGCAATTTTCATATTGAGGATATACTTTAAGCGAATAGCTGCGGGGACTGGTTCATCTCTGACAAATGTTCGAAGGAGTGCAAGACACGCTTTCATTCAACACTCTTAGCACCGAATTGTAAACCCCACCGAGCCAGAGGAAGTGAAAGGGGGAAAAAAAATACGAGGTAAAGACAAATGCACATGTAGTCAAGGAGAATATAAAATCAACAGTATTTGTCCACAAGAGCTATAAATGATGGATCTTGCAGAAGCTGTGTTGCAGTTGGGCCGCTCCTCAGGGACATAACTAAACCCTCTTGACAAGACAGAGAGTGCATGTTGTCGTTCAACAGGATCAGATTCCGGACGCCGGTATGCAATATTTGCTTCAAGGGAGTCTTCTGGGGCTGGCTTTTCTATTATACCACATGTCAAGGCTGCTCTCGGGGTCAACATATAAGCCCTTTCCATTCTCTGGGAAGACGTCCTAAGTGAGAACCATAGAAGATTACTATCCCGCCACGTGACAAGGTATTGAAAGGGACAAACCTTAGGTACAGCACTGAAAAAACACACATATAGCTCCACATGTCACAAGCAAAGCCTTGAAAGCTTGTTATGAAGCCGTTCGGGTGAGCAGTACATGCTGGGTGGGCGGCCTTGCGTTGCTGGGCCTTTCGAGCCTCATTGCCAGGCCAAAGTCACCAAAGATAGAAATCCTCAGTGCGTAAATTCTCGGCGAACACTAAGGGCTTAACAAGTTCTCCTTTTTTTTCCAGAGTTGTACAATTGGGACAACCTGCTTGAGTGGTCGGCCAAGAATTTCGTACTTAGCAGCTTTGTTGAGATGGTGAAGTGGTTCTACACCCCACATACAATTTTGACTATTTAGGTCTGCGTCAATGGTATTAGGACAATTAGTTCAAGCATTCAAGCATCAAGGGAATGTAGTAGGTTTGGCCTGACTCACCGCGGTGCACAATCCCAGCACTGTGTAGGCTTTCTAAAGCCTTCAGTAATTGCCGAGCAGCGGACATGCGAGTTGACATTGGCAATATCCTGTTCACATGCATACTGCCCAGGGATCGACCTCTCAGAGGAAATACCAGGACTCGGTGGGAGGATTTGCCCGCAGGAACAGGAAGAGTGGAGGTTGCCAGAGATGTCACAAGATGGGAGGTGTCCTGCACATTTTTGCGAATTTCTTCTTGCATATTGACTTCATGTTCTCTAGAGTTTTCCCCCGAGGCCAGTACTTTGACGGCGACATCACCCTTAGTCTCAATGTCATATGCCAACCATAGGACAGTGCAGAAGCCGCCGTGACCAAGTTTATGATCAATGCGGTACCTTTGGTTAAGTACTTCTCCAATACAAATGGGATAAAATGTGCGGGAGTCTCCTGCTGTCTTATATCTATGCCAGGCTCAGCAAGGATCTCAATCCTCAGGGGATCGAGGCATCATTGCTGTTATTGTTATATCAGATACAGCTCTCGCGGAACTTGTAGCTACAATTCACATTTCGAGAGTAGGAGGTGGCGCTGGAGGCTCTGTATACGGAATGGGTAGGGTGTTGGGAGCCGTGGGAATAACAAAATGTAAAAAAGAATTCAGTTAAAGGAAAGCTAACCTGGGTAATTTACCGGCCTGACGCGGGTTACAGTTGAACGTGGTTTATCAAAAGTTGAATATGGTTTAAAAAAAGTGAGTCTGAAAAATAAACCATGCCCAGTTCTCACTCTCTCACTAAAATCTACATCCACTAAATATCTTTTACACATCTGCACTGTATATTACTAATCAGCTTTTATTTAGTTCTACTTCAACATCTGAGGCTCTTCAATATCTGGAAAGCAGTTATGAGTTAGAATTAGCAATCTAGAGTTAGAATCCAGATTAGCTGATAAATAGAGCTCTGAGAAATATGATAAAATCATGATGTGTGAGATATGTAGGAGAGATGACTAGTGTTTGTAGTTTTAATGGGGGGTTGACATGGTTTATGGTCAAAACCCCACTGATGAAGGTTATTCCGGCCTGAAAAATTAACCATGTTCAACTTTTTATTAACCACGTTCAACTGTACGCCCATGGATTGCTTAGTGTAGAATGATTCTTAAGGATTAGGAACAAGGATTGGACAATCTTATTGCTATTCTAGAAGTTAATTACAATTCTTGATTGATTATTCTTCTTCTTCTTAACAAAACAAAACAAAAACAAAAGAAGATCAGAAAGAAAATGAGGGAATCCTCTCTTTTTACAAGAAAAGAAAACAAACAGAATTCTTAGAGGAAAGGAGGCAATAAGAGTAGGTAAACAGAAGGATTAACTAGCAAAGAAAGAAGAAATGCTGCTTATATTACTTCTGAATACAGAACACTTAAAGAAGGATTGCCTATCGGCTCACTCTCTACAACTATTAGTCATGTGATGGAGTGAGCGCTCTGTTGACTTTACAGCCTGCCATGCTCTGCGTAATTCCCCTATCTATTCACACTTCCATCTCTTCTATTTATTTAAAGTGTATCTATCAATCCATGAAAACTTCAAAATTCAAAGGGCGCCCGTCGGCCGTTGATTCCTGAGGTCTCATTTTTCTATCATTTCTCATTCTCCACCAACCCCCGGCCCTCTACTGGTACTGAGTCGCATCGTAGTAAAGATCCAACAGACACGACGCAGACCATGCTTGTGTCGGGCACTAGAATATGCAGGCAATTAGTAAACAATAGCACCCACACAGGCTTAGTACATTCCATCACGAGGGATAGAGAGATGGAGCGGAATGAAAATAAAAACAAAGATTGAATGAACCAGGAACGGCAACTTACTGAATCTGCACAGAAGGCTCCACCCCCATCTGTCAGCTCCGTCAGGCCCTTCCACCTACTGTCCACAATCATTCTCTTACACCCCTTCAGCCTACTCGACACAAGTTGGAACGCCTCTGCTTTCCCATCTCCCTTCCCCTCCTCCCAGCCCTCTCCTAAACCAGACCGTCTTAAAATTTCAAACCCCAACAGCGCCCGCAAGAAATAACCCAGCGGCCACACCCACTCAGGTCCCTGGTGATAATTCCTTCCCTTCGCCGTGGCAAAATCCGTTGAATCCTCAGCATTGTTATAATGCGGTCGGTAATTCAGGTCGGCAGGATCGAGTGTAGCCATCCCCACCTCACCGCGGAGGACATTGTCCGCAACGCTGAGCGCATGAAGGGCATCCTTCAGTGGGAAAAGAGTTGGAGCGACGGCCATGGCGACTGCGAAGTTAGGACGGAGCTGGTAGTCCTGGTAGGGGGTGGAGGATTTGTAGAGATCCTTGTAAATGCCACGCCGGTGGACGATGGACGGGTCGACGTCGTGTTGTGAATCATCGCCTGGGTCGAGGGGGATGTAGTAGGCACGGTTGAAATTCTCGTGGATACGGGAGGCCCAGTTTGAAAATGTTATTTCATCCATCGTCGCTGTAGAGATTGAGCCAATTTTAACGCCCTCGTGCTTGTAACGCCCCTCACTATGGAGCTTTGCCACCCAGCGCAGAGCACTGTATAGAAGCCCTGTAATCTCAACAGCAGCACCATCCCTGGGTGTCCCTGGATAGCCCTTATTTCCCGCCTTCTCACTCTCACCCATCTTATCCATCCACGTCCCGCAATTCCACTGATTACCCCCAAAGATAAATCCAGTCTTCCAGTCGACATGAACATCAATCTGGAACCCTTCAGAATTCATCTGCCTATCCAGCTCCGGACCGGCATTGTACTCCCGAAAGGACAACCCGGATGCATGTCGTTGGAACACTTCCTGGATAATTTCTGCAATCGTCGAGGACTGACTATACGCCCGCTGATCATCGAAGGGGAACCAAATATCATCATACGGCAAGAAGCGACGAGGTACTTTCACATCTAGCAGCGAAATCCCATCGGGGACGATGGTGGTATAGTCCTGAATGGCTTGGAGAAAGAACCAGACGGAGTCCCGCGAGTTGTAACGCGGCAGTTTACCACTCCCGAGCAAGTTGGGGATCATGCCGTGTTTAAGCACACTTGCGAAAGCGAGGATGTGTGCCTTCGCGACGTCGAAGCGGCCAGTGACCAGCAGGAGGCCGCGAAGTGAGATGAAGACGTCGCGGCCCCAACATCGAGCCCAGTCGGTGGCGAAGTGTGGTAGACCGGCGGCGAGAGCGGGGACCTGCTTGTCTGGGTAGAGAGAAGCTGATTCTACATACCCGACCATCTGGACGGCAACCATTGCGAGTGAGTGGATGAAGTGTGTGCCGTATCGGACGCCGTCAAGTAGACTTATACCACGTTTCCGCGCAGCATAATACGCTGTTTGTACGATCATGGCGAAGTACCTTGGCAGGAGGAAATCTGGCACGGAGCGAATCGCATCGAAGCGCTTTTGTAGCCATGTCGCTGGAACTTGCAGGTGGTCATATCCATATACTTCTACCGCGTTTTTCATGCGTCCGACGATGAAATCAAACGCCCACTGGCCGCTGCGAATGTTATCGCATACTGGGTGGCCAAGGTCGTTGGAGTGGACGATAGGTTCAAGCACGCTCCACCAGCCCTGCAAACCAGCATAATCAAGCGGAGCAAAATTTGGGATATTGTAAACACCGTCCTTGCCTCCACTTGAATCCCTCTCCTCCGCATCGCATCTGTAAAGGACGAAGTTAAGATCGATAAGGTCAAGATTACCGAATGCCTCATCGGCACCGGAGATGATAAAGGAACGAAGATTTTCGGACGGATCTTCACCAGGAATCCACGTCTCGAACACCGCAATTGAACCAGGGGGGAATTCGCCGGGAATTGTAATTACTGTCTCATTCCCCTTCCCATCAACTCGCACACCATCCAGGCTAATAATGCCGCTTGGTAGACCCCTAAGATACTTCTTATCGGAAAGAACACGCTTTTCCGACGCATCAGAATCATCAACTTCCAACTTCCAGGCACTAAGAAGCTTGGCATCAGTCCTCGTTAAGCACACAGGGCCCAGCGTGGCATTCGAGTTCCCACTGTTTGAAAACGCCGTATGAGCAATGAGGAAGATGCCCTTTCGAGTATTTGGTTGCACGCGATGGACAGTGATGTACTCCCCCTCATGATGAATATGGGTCTCATCACATCCATCCACAGCCATTGTCATGTGTAGTTGATTCAACAGCTTCTTCGCACAACCTATACCCTCCTCCCCAACAGGTGCTGTCGTATTCCCTTTGACTCCCACCTGCGTTCCCTGCGATTCATCTTCCGAGAATCCAGAAGAATACACACGCGTCTCTTTCACCAAGTCCAGATTTTTTGGATAAATCTCATCGTAGCCCATTACACTTCCAGACGCAGATGCACACATGGCGACCAGCGCCGCATTGGGCAGCGTATCTCTAGCTTGCCGCTTCTGCGCAGGTACCTCATTGTCATGCGTGCAATCCATAAACAACACCTGGATCGGCATCTCACGGATGTGTTTGATAGCCTCATTCCTGTCGCCACCGTTGGTGTGAGCGGGAGAATCTTCTCGTACATAATCGCCCGTCAGCAGATCGATATCAAAGCTCCCAATAGGCCGCCCGCCATGCCGATGGACAAGCCTGCTGAGCTCTGTCGCATTCCAAGCCTGCATAGCCTCGCGGATCAGCGCGCTTAGACCTAGCCGCTTCGTAAAGAGATAATCCGTCTCCTCAGAGCCAGTAAATAGTTCCGCGAAAACCGTAAGATCTGGGCGAACGCGCCTGGCTTCATTGAGGAGGTATTCTGCAACAACAAGCGGGGTCGAGTGGCAGTTATCAATGCGGAAGCCGGCGAAGTGTCTAGCCATCAGCCGTGTATAACGGGCCATATAGTCCCATAGGAATGGGTTGTCATCTGGACAAGCACCATAGCGTAGTTTGACGCAGTCGCCCCAGGCCACGACCTCGCGTCGGAGATAGGCTCGAGAGTCTGGGCCCGCTGTGTCTCGCATGGCATCTGCGTTCCACACCCATCCATTATTAATCAGCGCCAGGGAATTTGGAGCGTGATTCTTCGTAACTCCATTCACTGGCAAGCGGGTGAAGTATGTCTCAACAAGAGGATTCTCTTTAGTAATTGGCCCCAGCTTCGGCCCATTATCATCGAGCCGTTGGTACTTGACGCGATTAAAGACCTGGTCAAAGATCTCCTGGGAATCTCTATCAAACTCCAGAAAGAGCGGGAGATTAACCTCGTCGAGGATTTTAACGAGCTCCACTCGAATTTGTGAAATATCTGACGACTCTTTTTCATACCGACCATATAGCGCCCGTAGCAAGGCCGCACCCACCGCAGCATCGACATCCCGACTGTGTCGACCCAGGATCCGGTTGTTATTATTCAACCCCTTCTCCCGAATAAAGGACGCTTTTTCCTTTAAGCTCCAATTTCTGATCTCCTGCAAAGGGCCAATAGTATCCACTCCAAACCCACCCTCGGGAATGCGAACATCATCGCTCACATAAGCCTGAATCGTCCGCTCCACGTCCCTCTGCACATCCACAACGTAATACTCCCACAGCCGTATCTTATCAATGACATTCCCCTTTATCCCATTGACAACTTCTACCACGTCCTCATTCGATTTAAAATCCACAGGCAATCCCAGCTGGGCCAGCTGCTCGGAGTAGCGCAGCAGTGCCGTATCAAGCTCCAACGCCGCCTCTAACCACGGCGCCGTGGCCACACTATACCCAGCCTCCGGATGCTCCAACAGCCAACTAGCATTATTCGCTGTGTGATTCCACACGACATCCGTCAATGCTAGAAGGCCATATGTGCCTTCCATACGCTTGACCAATGCCGCCACGTCAGCTTCACCGTTTGGGAAACAGGCCGGGTCAAACGTCAATGGGTCGAAGATGCTATACTGCGAGTTCGACTCGCCACGTGCCATCAGCGGGGTGAAGTGGACCATGTTATAACCACGACGGGAGATGCTGGCTAGATGCCTGTCCCAGTCTGTCGGGTACTGACCCATGAATTTTGAGAGGACGGTGATTACTGAGAGGGATGCGAAGGGGAGTCTAGTATCGTTGAGTGTTACGCGGGGGGAGATGGTTAGGTAGTGAATTTGGGAGCGGAGCTGCTCTTGACTCTTCTCCCGCGAGATTAAAGACGAACTGGCTGAGAGCGAAGGGGGAGCGGCATATGTTACGTAAAAGGCGAATGCACCGGGAGCCGTGATGGGTATGTCAATTTCAGTCGCTTGGGTCGTGGAGTGGATTAATCTAAGGTTATTCTCCTTATTATTATCATTACCCGCATCTTCAGTCAACTCCTTGTTTCCCTGGTCGTAAACGGACTGAGAGGGAAAAATATAGGATAATGGCCTACTTATACTCCGTAAATACATCCTTCTCAAACTGTTTCCCTTCTTTCGGGATATTGGCCCATAGACTTCCCCGTCTGCAAATGGGGCTGCTCCCCTCAGTGACGAAGCGCAGAATGTATGGGGGGTCTGTGGGGGGTGGTAAGGAGATGAACTCTCGCGGGACATCCGGGCTGCCATTGTCGGTCAAGGGCAGGAGGTAAACTTCTCTCTTTTGAGAAGCCATGTCTCTGAGTTGACTGTAGGAGATCTAATGTCTATCGAGCCTGTTCTTTTTTTCCTAATCTTTTGTTTGCCCAGAGTGCTAGTATCTTTAAGATTGACTGTGATGAAAAGGGTATGCGGCGGGAGAGAGAGCGCGGGATACAACATGGCATAAGGGCATGAGAGTGGAATCCAGCGCGAGGGACTCATCCATATAAGATATAACTCCCGTGCAGGAATGTACCGCTAACAGGAACTCAAGGAAACCGACGGGACAAGGCGGCGGGCGTGATTGAAATGTTGTTTTGAGGTTGGTAGGTTTTCGGCCGCTGACATCATCATCTGCCACATCTTTGTCAGGCCTCCGGAAGATATACAGAATATAGTCATATGTGACTTAAAAACCAACTGACCATGGGCTGGTGCTAATGGGAAATTTCCTTTCAGACTAGTGGAAAAGCTTTCGGTTTGGTATTATGACCATCTCAACATATGGTCCTAGCATATATTTCGTTATGTGCCATCAATACTAAATCTACTTGGCAGATGACATTAAGTGTCGCTATAATTTTTTATGATTCAACTTCTGGAAAATAGGAAGAATGAAACAAAAATCAAATCAATGCCCTTCTCAAAACACCAACCCACCATTTTTAAGCGTAACAATCATACGCGCGCGACACAGAAGTCCGTGTTGACGGGTCCCGTATCCGTGATATAGGTATAGGTCGACACGAACTTCGAACAGACGGGAAATGCAATGCAATGAACGTCGGAGAAAATCGGAAGGGGTCGTCAATATTCAAGCATATATGTGTATATAAAACCAGCTTCTTGAAAGGGAAAGCAGGACAACCACCAAATATGCAGCAAAACATAAAAACGATCATGATAAGGATGATAAGTATAACGCATGTGCCGAGACGAATGGTACTTCCATCATCCCATGTTTAAAACCATTTCCATCTAGCGTTCAATCAGGCTGGGTAAATCTTCCACTTGCACCTCTCCTGTCAGAATCCCTGTAGCATTGTTAGTTTCCAGCTCATCTACTCCCAAAGGGAGAAGGAGGAAGAGGATATGATGATGAAATACATACTATAAACCGCGGTGAAAAGCGGGAACTCCCCTTCCAACCCCTTATTCTTCAAAAATATATTAACCTCCTTCGCTGTCAACGTCCCCTGCAGCATTTGCCCGTTGAGCTCCTGCTTCTCCACTTCGTCAACACTCAGCCCCCTCTCGATACTCAGCTTTGCACAGCGATGATTCCTTCCCCCATTACAGCTCGTGATCAGATCCGCAACCCCGCAGCTCTCTTCCGTGAATGTCTGCGAGTTCACCGACGCACCAAAGAACATCGTGCCAAACTTGACCATCTCCAGCAGCCCAACGCGCATCACGGCTGCTTTTGCATTATCGCCCCACCCCTTCCCATCGACGAAGCCTGCAGCTAGCGCAACGATGTTCTTAAGTGCACCACCCAGAGACACACCCGCGACATCGCTGACGACACGCACATGGAAGTACGGGCGGTGGAAGAGACTTTTGATAAGCTTGTGGTCGATTGGCGGGTATTCGGGCGGCAACGCCTGGAGTTTGACTTTGGAGAACTTGCCGGAGGAGTCCTTGTGTTCAAAGTGCACGACGACGTCCTGCGGGCGGGGAATATTGATGTTCGCGATGGAGGGAGCGGGGGAGAGGCCTCTGGGCGTGGGGGCTTTGGAGTCCATATGGGGCGGGTCGTAGGCTATTGTAGTTTCAGAGTAGAGCTCCTTGGCGATTTCGCTGGCGATGTTGGCTCCTGAGAGGGCGCCGCAGTAGATACCTAGTTTGCGGCCGATGGTTTCGGAGAAGAGGCTTACGCCATCGTCGGCGGTGACGTTGACGCCCTTGATGCATGATATGCCGCGAGCATAGGGGACGATGTGGCCCTTGAGCCTGTCGCAGATGTTATTGATAAACTGGTGGGGTAGGTTGAAGACGAGAATGGTGGAATTCTTGACAGCGTCTTCCAGGGAAGGGTTTGCGCGGAGATTTTCTGGCAGGGTGATGTTGGGCAGGTATTTGACGTTCTCGTGGAGTTGGTTGATGATCTCAGTCAGGTTCTGGGATCCCGTACAGATAGGCAATTCCCTGTTGTAGTGTTTTGAAGATTGGGGCACTTCGACATTCTCCTCGTATACCCACATCTGCACTGTTGGCTCGAAAAGGTCTGGGTTGGCTGCCGCATTTTCAGCGACCATTTTGGAAATTACCGAGCCCCTGCAAACATATATATCAAGCTAGGTCAGAAAATTATGTCGTTCAAAGAAGTAGAATACATACCAATTTCCAGAGCCTATCACGGTCACCTTGTGCCGCCTCCCGTGTGGTGTCAGGCCAGCCATGGTGTACGAGCGCGCAAGTAACTTGGGACAAAAAGAGGTGTATGCGAAAGCTAGACGAGGATGGGGAGGTGAGCAGGCAATACTGGTATTTAAATGATAGGTGTGGCGATTGACTCGGGTGCCAGCGCAGAAACGTGGGGCCAAGAGGAAGAGAAACGGTGCTGCAGGCGATGAGACACGAATTGGCCGTGGAGAGATACGGGACATTCACAGGCGCAGATAGCAGCGAAGGCGGATATCTGGGCCCGGGACTCGATCTGTGGAAGGTTCCCAGATGCAAGATCGCAGAGATAAAGATCAGATCAAAAGGAACCGAGGCCACTTCTAAATCGCCCAAACAGGAAATTTCTCCCACCGAGATGGGCTGCGGTTAGATAGCGGCCTGTGATTGGCTGGCCGTGGCCCAACAGGGAAAATGGTGGGGCAGAAGCCTCAGCCGCCACTGCCCGGTCCAGACGCCGGCGGGGTCTGTTTGGTCTGTTTGGTCTGTTTGGTCTGTTTGGCGGAGGAAGGTTGGAAGCAGAGATGGCTCAACAACCGGTATTTTCTTGTGCTGCGAGGAAAAGAAGCATCTGGAGTACGGGAAGGCCATTGCAGCTCTGTCATCCAGCAAGTCCCGCCTGGCTTTCCCTTTGGATAGATACCTGGAAAGATACAAGCAGATGGACAAATAATTCCTCTCGAAATCCGCCACTGGTATATGGGGTTAAAAAAAAAAAAAAAAAAAAAAAAAAAAATTCTACCCAGGTCCCGGAGTCCCTGAACCTAAAGCTTGTTCTTATGGCCAGACCCTTCGGCGGGGGGACGTTCCTGGGTGTTCTTGGCTTTTCCACTGTTCCCGAGCCATCCTTTGCGAGGGACCCAACCGATGCTCTATGATCTCTCTGGTGGATCAGATGCCCAACCTCGGTCTGGATGGAACAGCCCATTTTATTCCTCCCATGTGCTAACCCACATGTATTCCATTGCCTATGCAAGAGCGTTTTGTGCAAGCTAGTCTGATTCTAATTGAACAAGTCGAATAATTTGGGATGGAGAATTCTAAAGTTAGAGTACTACTACTCGTATTCGACATTTATGGATATTAGCCGCGCACGTTTATTTTAGCGAACAAACTTTATTCTCCGCGCGCTTGCTACCATTTGAGACGGGTCTCCTCGCCGCAGTTAAACGGCTCGCAGCCGTATACGAGACCAACGACTACTCTTCATAACCCGATCACCATGGTATACCTACCTTTTGGAACCCTTGCTTCGCCGCTTTTCACTTCTAACGAACTCAATAGGCCCCAGTCGCCCCCAAACAACGTACCACAAGCCGGGCCAAAATTGTCCGGAAATCAGCTACCACCCCCATCCCCTCAGGTCTCTTCCCCGACACCTCAACCTTCCACACAAACAAAAAAGACAAACGCCAAATAAAACATTCCGTCTTCCTTTCCAGAATTGAGAAGCCGCGCACCAAGATCCTAAAGCGACGGCGTCCCTCGAAGAAACTAGTCGCCAATCTCGATTCTCTCGTTGATGCGCTGCCTGACGCCGGTAATGAAAATAACAGCCCTAATCATAACGATGGACATAGAGGGGAGATGGCCGGCCAGGTGAATATCATCCGGCAGAAGAGTTTGAAACATAAGCCCGGCGCAATGAAGAGGAAGGAGATGCTCGATCGAAAGGAGAGGGAGCGGTTTGCGAGGAATCTGGTGCAGATGGCGGTTGTGGCGCCTTCGCCTTCGCCTTCTGATACAGAATTCACAAATCATACGCAGCCACATCCACGGCCGCAGCCGGGAGCCGAGAACGTTCCCATGTCGAATCGTTGGGCGGCGTTGCGTAGTTTTATTACACAGACAATCGACCAGAATCCAGAATTTAATAAGGCTGCGCGGCCGACATGAAAGGGTGTATTATCTCTTTTCTTTTATTTTACGAATGGCCACACGCTCCTACCATAGGTTGCCTATCTCGGCCTCGCTTCAGTTGGAGCAGATACCGGATCCTCTGTGCACGCTGCTGGGGTTGTTTGTTTGCGCGGTTTGCAGTTTTGCAACCCGCAGGGAGGATTTTATTACATCAGTGATAAAGCTTCAGACATGGAGAACCAACGTGGATGATAGCTATAGCTCATGAGAAACGGTCCGCGGGATATGTAGAACGGTGTACGGAGTTTCTTTGGTGGAGTTTCGGCTTGAGAGTAAATATCTGAAAAGTTCAATTACCATGTCTTCCTCTAACAAAATGTCATGATAAGAAAAAGGTATGAAAGAAGAACGAAAGTAGCACACAATGATTTAATTCAATAATATTTGCAAACTACGTACTAAAATCATTTCGCTATTTGAAAGAGAACCGACGTGCCACAACCAAAGTTAAACTTCAGATGTAAAAACCTTTTGTCACCCCGCCTAACCCCACACTTCTTTTCTGAATCATTCTGCCAACACGCTCTTGACCAAGCGTAGTCGGAGGATAAAATGAAATGATAAAGAGATGGAGGACCTCTTAAAATCCCGCGAATTCCTCCAGCAGCAAATCTCCACTACGGAAGCTCAGCTCTCCCAACTCAATGCTGCGCTCGAGCGGACAGAGCGGCAGATCGCGGCGGGGAGGCCAACAACAGCAACAACGACCACAAGCCAGCCGGAAACTGTGAACAAGGGAGAAGTGCCATCTGAACGGAATCGCAGATATCCGCTCGAACAGGATGAGTATCGACGCTATGGACGGCAGATGATTGTGGACCAGATCGGGCTTGAGGGTGCGTTCGGGCCTGGAACAAGCGGCGAAAATAGAGAACTACAGGCTAATTTGTGAATCCTTTTTGATACAGGGCAATTAAAACTGCGCGAATCCTCGGTTCTCATTGTTGGCGCCGGGGGATTGGGATGCCCTGCTGCCATGTATCTGGCTGGAGCTGGGGTTGGAACCATAGGAATCATAGATGGAGATACGGTCGAGGAATCAAACCTGCATCGACAGGTGCTGCATCGGACGAGGAATGTGGGGAAGTTCAAGGTTGATAGCGCGATTCATTATTTGAAAGAGTACGTCATATTGCTATTAATACTGGATACGCATACATCTCACCAACACATAAACTCTCCAGATTGAACCCATATCCCAAATACATCCCCTACCGCGTCAACCTTACCTCCGCCGATGCACCTTCGATCTTCAGTCCCTACGATCTCATCCTAGACTGCACAGACAACCCCGCAACCCGCTACCTGATCTCCGACACCGCTGTCATCCTAGGCAAACCACTCGTTTCCGCCTCCGCGCTGCGCACCGAGGGCCAGCTAATGGTCCTCAACTACCCTCCCCAAAAGCCAGCAGACCAACTATCCTCCTTGCCAACTGACACCACCACCGGAGGACCGTGCTACCGCTGTGTGTTCCCTAAACCCCCTCCCGCCGCGAGCGTCACGAGCTGCGCTGACGGCGGCATCCTCGGCCCCGTCGTCGGAGTCATGGGCGTGCTCCAAGCGCTCGAGGCGATCCGCGTCCTCACGCAGACAATGTCAGCCACGTCCACAACCATATCACCAACCCTTCTCCTCTTCTCGGCCTTCTCTAGCCCCCCATTCCGTAGTATACGGCTACGCCGACGGCGACAGGACTGCGCAACTTGTTCGCCGACGGCGCGGACGATAACGCTGGATTCGCTGCGCAGTGGGTCGATGGATTATGTGCAGTTCTGCGGCGGGGTGGTTGGCGCGCAGGCGCTGTTGGGGGCTGAGGAGCGGATATCGGCTCGGGAGTATTGGAGGCGGTATCAAAAGCCGTGGGGGGAGGAGGGGGAGGGGGAGGGGGAAAGCCCGATTCTAATCGACGTGCGGGAGGCGGTGCAATATGGCCTGGGCGCGCTGAAGGGGAGTGTTAATATTCCGATCTCGTCGATCTTGTCATCCTCTTCTTCTACCTCCGCGACGCCATTGAACTCCGGCTCCCTTGTTGAAACAGCGCCCAATGGCACGTCCGCAGCAACAAGTACAACAGCTCTCAATCTCCCGTCCTGGTACCCTTCATCTCTGCTCGATACGGACCCGACCAGACCGATCCATGTCGTGTGTAGATTGGGGAATGACTCTCAGGTGGCGGTGCGGAAGCTGAAAGAGCTGGGTGTTGATAGGGGCGGTGAGAGGTGGGTGGGAGATATCCGGGGTGGACTGAAGGCGTGGAGAGAGGAAGTCGAGCCGGAGTTTCCTGATTATTGATCGTTTTGCTTATGAGTGAAAATTTTTTGGGTTTGTGAGAGGGGCAATTGGGGGTATTCCATTCATGTCATGTCATGTCATGATCAGGGTTTAATAATTGAAGATAACAAGCCGCTTTCTCTAGCGGTGGATATTAGACACAAACAAGAGATATAAATAGAGATATACGCATTGACAACATATTATTCACTCGATGTATACATTCGATATCAACAACAATCAAAGAATGTTCCTTACTACCCACCAAGAAGGTGAAAGGGTTTTGCCTTTTTATACAAAAAAAAGGGCTGGGTGTAAGGTGGGTATCATGTCCAAGAGGAGCAAATCGCAGCAACGAAAGCTAGTAAATACGCATGAAACGTTTCATTCGCCTGAAACGAAACAGAAACGAAATGATGAAACGAGAAACATCAGTTTTCTTTCATGATAAAAACAAAACAAAAATAAAATAAAAATAAAAAAGAAAACAAAAACAAGAAATTCAAGTTCGCATCTCGAAATCCACAGGATAACCACATATCACCAGGTGTGGTCCTTCCAACCTGCTACCCTGGCGTGCGTGGGGGCGTGCGCGGGAGGGGTGTATCCTCCAACCACGCCCACTGCACATCCACACGCCCCTGCTCTTCCAACGCCAGTTGCGTGAAAACGCTAAGCGAGACATCGATATCATTTGGCTGGCACCCAACACCTACAACAGAATCAAAGTCAGCCAACGCCAGAAAAATAAGAGGTCAAAAACCTACATCGATCCACAACTGTAACGTCCACACTCCTCCCCGCCCTCCGCAACCTTAACTTCTTTCCGCACAGCGGGTTCGCATTCGGATTCGGCCCTACAGACACCGCATCATACAGATAATGCGATACAGCACACACAGGCTCCCCAGCCGAACTCTCAATCCCACAAGCGCCCAGTCCCGCGTCATAATACGTTAAATCGCCCGTATACGGCCCTCCATGGCTGTTGGGTAGCGGGAGGTCGGCAGAGGAGTGATGATTAATATTACTGCTCTTGTTCCGCCCCGAAAGACCCACTGCCAACCCAATTACGAGGATGAGGTGGAGAAGGACTACTCCACCGATTATGAAGAAGACACGTTGTTTTTTCTTGTTAGACTGGAAGGGGAGTTTTGCTTTGAGGTCGTTGGTTTGCGCTGCTGTCGTTATTGGTGGTGTTGGTGGTGTTGGTGGTCGTGATGGACTTGCTGCGACGGACGTCGATTTCATGAATGGACGTTTGAATTTGCTGGTGAAGGATCGCCAGGGAGAATTTGCTGAGGTAGCGCCAGCGCCTTTCTCCGCGAATGGGGAGTCGTGGTATGGTGTTGCTGTTATAATTGTGGTGGTAGGATTGGGGGGAATGAGGACGGGTTTGCGCTTGGGAATTTCGGAGACGGAGACTTGCACACAGGAACCGGCTTTGATATGTTTTATCGAGGTGGGCTCGGACTGCGGGAGCACATGCCGGGGAGTGTGAGGAGGTACGGTTTCATCATTACTGATGCTCCGAACACTGGTTGAGGAGACGGTGCGGGTGAGAGAGGAAACAGTCTTGATTGATTGGGCCATTGTCTATATTCCTTTCTACAGGGCTTTTGTCTGGATGTTTCTCGGGGATATGTGTTTAAATGAGTGTGTCCGAAATGACAATCAGAGTCGATTGTATTCATGAATCTGCCCTGCGAGGAATTGTTTTCCGACCAAGGATAGCGAAGGTGATGGCTGTATATCAGCTCCGAGTATATCTATCTGAATGCCAGTGTGGGCTAGACAACAAAGTCTAACCCAATTCTGTGACTTCAGTATATTTTCTGCCTTTGCGCCGGGATTCAGGGGCTGGACGTAGTATAGCTAGAGTAAGCGCAGGCCTCCTCAGCAGTGGATGAGTGAATGAATGGACGGCAGTCGCCAGAGTAGATAATAGGGGAATGAATGAATTCGCAGGACAAACGAGTGTGGTCCCTAGCGGAATGTCAGGCCATGGTCGGGACCAAGGACAGCAGCGTCTCATCAATCTGACACGGTCCCAGAGTTGGTTCCCGTCCCCTGGGTCAACAACATGGATGAATGGAAGAGGTTGGCCTGGCCGAAATAGGGAATTAGGGCTTGCTGGGATATATATCACATGATTAAAGCTTGGCAGTGAATCTGTTCGAAGATAGAACAATGTTTCGTATGCAGCGCGCATTATTTGGTATACTAGAGGGCAATTCGGGGGATTAGAGTGCAGACTTTAAGTAATGTTAATAGCAATATAAATACCAATATCAATACTAGTAGCTATCAATATCAACGTTAACTAGTTATAACTACGAGACATCGAAGAACTGACTGGTAATCACAGTCCCGTGATTGGCTAGCTCTGCTGACATAACCGCGACTTTGCCGCTTCCCAAGGTTGGCGAAAACTGAAGCAGACACACTCAAACAGCAGACATCGACGACGACGACGACGACGACGACGACGACGACGACGACGGCTTCAATTGACCCCACGCGGAGAGTAGCAAGCACCAGGGAAAATCTTTTGAAGAACTAACCGACTACGAGTCGCTGATATCCATCTACATCTAACTCTGAGTTATTGCCCCTCTTCTCGGAATTGGAAGGCAGCTGTCGATATGGCCTCCCTACGCCCTACATCCCGCCTACTCGCGGCCTCTCGACCTCTATTCCTCACCTCCGTAGCCTCGAGATCTTATGCCACCGTGGAGTCTGCATCCAAGGTCGCGGATCAATCTACCCCATCGACTTTGCAATCCCCAAGACTCAAGACCTTCAAGATCTACAGATGGAACCCGGACAAGCCCACCGAGAAGCCTTACATGCACGACTATACTCTCGACCTGAACAAGACCGGCCCCATGGTGCTAGATGCCCTGATCAGAATAAAAAACGAGCAAGATCCGACCTTGACCTTCCGGAGAAGTTGCAGAGAGGGCATCTGCGGGAGCTGTGCCATGAACATTGATGGCGTTAACACCCTGGCTTGCTTATGTAGGTTCACCACTGTACCTTTTAGTGTGGATTGATACTGAACTATAAAGGCCGTATTCCTACCGAGACCACCAAAGAGTCCAGAATCTATCCTCTCCCTCACACCTACGTGGTCAAAGATCTAGTTCCCGATCTGACCTACTTCTACAAGCAATACAAATCAATCAAGCCATACCTACAGCGTGACACACCTTCTCCAGACGTATGTTCAACGCCCCTCCTCACAAATAACAATACTTTTCATAAAGCAAACTTTCTCACGTTATTTCGTAGGGCCGCGAAATCCGCCAATCGCCCGCAGACCGCAAAAAACTCGACGGTCTTTACGAGTGCATCCTGTGCGCCTGCTGCTCAACCTCCTGTCCATCCTACTGGTGGAACTCGGAAGAATACCTCGGCCCCGCTCTCCTGCTGCAGTCTTACCGGTGGCTAATTGATTCGCGTGACGAGAAAACCGAGGAGCGCAAGGCTCACCTCGACAACAGCATGAGTGTATACAGATGCCACACCATTCTCAACTGCACGAGGACGTGCCCCAAGGGATTGAACCCCGGTCTGGCCATTGCGGAGATTAAGAAGATGATGGCCTTCGCGTAAGAAATAGGATCGTGCTGCTTTTTCTTCTTCTGTTTTAAATTTTGGTCTCCTTTTTTGATTTGGATCCTTCAATCGGTTAGCGCCTATGCTTGTGGTGCCATTTTGCTACCATGGCGCCGCAGTCCTTTCATTCTCTCTTACAGCTCGCTGTGCCGTGACTTCCTACGACATGCGTCATGGGTCCAGATCTGTACTAGCAGCAAAAGCAAACCCGGCTCCCCCGTTTCCGGCATCGAGAATGCAGGTGTTGGAATACGGAGATTCCGTTTGTTCGTTGTTTATTTTCTGTTGGTTATGAGTTTCTAGCTTTCTCTTGTTGACATAATGTTCAAGCTGTTATTTATTTTCTCGTTTCCTGTTCCACATCTTTTTTCACCTCTGTACATATATGGAGAATTATCAATTAGTGAAATGTCTTGACCATGTATAAAATCACCGTTAAATAAAACAAGCAGACCAAAAATAAATGATTGAATCAACAAAGGAATGAGCATGAAAATGAAGCGACGCTACGCCATCCCAGTTGGCCCCAACATATACATTATGGCCCCAACCACTTGCTGCATTTCCGCCGTCACGTCCCCATGCAGGACAGTAATAGGAACCGCCGCCCCCCCCCCCCCCTTTAACCCTCTCCCTCTGCACACTTTTCAAAAATCTCCCTCGTAAATGGATCTGCTCCGTGCAACACAAGCCTCACGTTATTCCCCACCGCCCCCCTAATCCTCCACAACAGGTCATATTCCAACCAAGATTCCACCGGGACCATCTCCCCTGCACAATTCCAAAAGCAGGCGCGAGCCAATCAACCCCAGTCCGTACAAACTCCCGGCTCTCCTCCGCTGTCGTCAGCAGGCCCTCCAGCCACCCCACCTTCCCCACTCTCGATCCTCCCGAGCTCCGCCTCCGTCGCAATCCCCCAGTACGCTGCCGGTTCCGTCGTCCGCGCCAGGTTCTCTACTTTCTCATAATGGTTCATGTCCACCACGAAGGTGAGCGGCTGCATGTCCGCGGCCTGCTAGATGACCTCGGCACTTTGTGCGTAGTCTAGATGCAGGATTACGGGCACGGGAGCGACGCAGGCGGCGCTCGCGGCAGCGTGCACGAGGAGTGCTCCGGTGTACTGGATGGCCCAGGGGAAGGTGAGGTTCATGGCTGGGGATCGTTTGGCATCTGCGGCGCGGACCGTGACTAGGATGCCTTCCAGGTTGTAGCAGCAGATTCCAGGGTAGGCGTACCTACCAACAACAGCAGCGTCAAGGAGGGGTAGAGCCCGGTTGGATTTTAGAGATGTGATGTGATGTGTGTGGAGGATCGGTGCTGGGCTGTGTATCTTGTATGGATTTAGGAAACGACAAGAGGAATACGCACCGGGAAAAATAAGGAGTTAATTCCGTCAAAAATCTCACTGCGATATCATCTTTCCCACGTCTCTTCGATGTGAGACACCCCACCCCGCCTTTTACGCTGAGCGGAAAACATGTAGAGACATCTAAACACCTGAGCTCTCGAGGCGACAACTTACCAAAGACTTGAGGTTTAGGTGACGAACTTGCTTGGGTCTGGTTAATTCAGCATCTACGGGAAGCTTAGACGCAACTGCCTCTCTAACCTATGATGTCCTCTGCGTATGCTTGATAATTCATTTCACATCCAAGGGGTTCGGCATTGTGTTACGATGAGGCATGTCTCTGAGAATCAGCTCTGGCACGAATCCATTCCACGTAGCGGTATTACTCCTAGTTACTAGTACCCTCATGGCCAATATAATTACTTCGCGAATCGGAGCCTGGAAATGTATCGAAGAGAAAAGAAGGGGTAGGAATGACAGCCTATATCCAACCAAATGTGTGGATATATGTATACTTTTACAAATCCAGAGCAGAGATTTGTTTGTCCATTAGCAGCAATCTATCTTGCTTCGCAAGAACCCCGCCAATATTCCTATATTCTCTCGAAAAAGCCTAACAAAACCTCGTTTACCTCATCCCTCGCCTCCAACTGGATCCAATGCCCTTTAGCATCAACTTCCCTGACAGTCAAGTTCTGCGCAAACTGTTTCATCATGCCCGCTGCTGCGCCTGGTATATTCAACCGGCTTGGCTGCGAGGTGAGCATCAACACTGGCTGGTAGAGTTTCGAGTCTAACTGTGCCTGGATCTCGTCGTCGACATTGATATTCCCTACCAGGGCGCGATACCACATCAACGCAGATTTGTAATGGCCGCGCATGATCTTGAACTGAGTGGATTTCTCCTGTTGAACGTTAGAATAGAACTAACTACAACATTGAGGAATTAATTCCCTCATGGCCCTACGCACCTCTTCCGTGATATACGGGGCCAGTGGCGCTTTACGATCGTTCCGCAGCCATGTCTCCAGGGCCCCTGTTGGCCCTAGGTGCTCGATCCATAAATCGGCCTCTGCGGGATAGAACAATGTGAAGAACGAATCCACCTAGCAAGTCCAATTAGCCAATCTGCCCCACCAGCGGTGCATACCAAAATAAAGATCATGGCCAAATACTTACATGCTCCTCAATGAGTCCCGCCGCTCCCTCCGACACAAAAAACTTCAGGTACCCAAACCTCTCGAACCCTAAGACCTGTTTCACCATCTCATTAATCGCATCGAGATGAAAGCCCTCACCAGGCTTCTGGTACGGGACTTCCAAGAACGACAAGCTGGCAAGCCGTGTGGGGTAATAATTCCCCAGCCTCGAGAGCAGATAGCAGCCTGTATCATGCCCCACAGCGTGGACAGGCCCTGAGATATTCTCGTGGTCCAGCAGCGCAATAATATCTGCAGACATTGTCTTGGCTTTGTAGTCTGAGAGCTCCGTCGGCTGTGCTGGGTCATTTGCATCAGCTCCAGAAGCTGATGTGTTCTGGCCGTATCCGAGCAAGTCAGGCGCAAGAACACCATAGCCGTTTGTTATGAAGAAGGTGATTTGGTGGCGCCAGTCGTAACTGGAAGAGGGGAATCCGTGGAGGAATAGGATGGTGGAGGCAGTGCTGGTACTGGTGCTGGGACGGGAGAAGATGTAGGTGTATCTGTGGTGGGAAGCGGGGACGGTGTAAGCGCGGGCGAGAGAAGGGAACACAACGGTTGCCATGTTGATTTAGTTAATTATCTATTATGTATACGGAACGTTGTGCTTATCCGTTCCACTTGTGTTTGCTCTACTCAGACGGCAGTAGAATGACGTTGTGCAAATATTCTCAATAAGGTCATGCCCTCTCTGAATCGCTCATCGATATTTCTGGATCAATGCATACTATCTGAAATGCTCTCAGGGGGCTTTGGCAGCCAAGTTAGGTGTCAAGGCCATAAACTTCTATTATAAGGACTGGGCTTACATAGTTGAGGTTTGCTATTCGGATGAGAAGAAATAATTTTCGTACCACTATCTTGTTTATCTATGCTGTAATATCATCAATCCATTTTGGTTATAGTGTTCAAGCCAAGCGGGCAGGCGAGGCTGGGCCACTTGGCTAAGGTCAACCACCACGACAGCGCTTGCGGTGATAGGAGCAGGATCCTATATGTAGTTAAACCCTTCGGGGCATACTGGGCCCGGAGGCGCCTGGCATGACGCTATTGTTAAGCACATAGGAAACCACAGACTGCTATTAGCGTAAAGACAGAAAGGTAAGTAAAAAAAGTCTCATCAATCAAGTAGTTTAATTTAGCCCTTTTTTATACACTATTTTAGCCCAGAGGTGACAGAGATCTCAGTTTCTAATCTCTTCTAGTCTTTCGCTCTTCCTTTTTTATCCTGCCATTTTTATCTATTTCCCTTTCACTGAGAACAGCGATAGCCAGTTCTTAGTAACTTAAGGCAATTTATAATTGCTGTTGTTCACATATGAAGTTAATTCTTGTAATGTTTATAACTAGATTTCGCCTAAATCTTGGGGGGCCTTTAGGGCTTTGGAATGAAGGTGAGTCCAAACTCTTTACGGGGAGAATCCTATAAGAAACTAGCTTTTCACGTATCAAACAAATATAAAACTAGGATAAAACAACGACTTTTGTGTGGTGAAGCGTCACCTATTAAATGAGTGGCATTTTGGTGATCCAGCTTGGTGGAAGCTTTTATTTCTTTGAACCTAGAGGTTTAACTACCGGTTTCACACTTAGGCATCGCGATATATGGGCTGGAATCACCCGCATATGTGCTCCGATTCCACGTCGTGGTTGGTATATCGTCCCTCTATGCAAAGCATCCGTGACCCAAGAACAAAGGTCGTACAGAATATGAAAAAAAGAAATGAGCCGGCATGAATTGAGACCCCCAACACCCCAACTTCCCGCGCAATTGGTGATCCAAGCAACCGACTGACACGCGTTCGATCCTCAATGCGCACCCTATGCTAGCCTATCCTCGAGCTGGCTTCGATAGTTAGCTACTGGCATATTCGATAGCTATGCATATCGGTTGCATCCAACCATACACCGTGCTAGTAAACAAAATCTCCTGCATTTTCCAGCCTGCGGCATCATTTCGAGCAGCATGCAGCATCAGCCATTTTTGAACCCACCGCAGATCTGCCACGCCCACCTCCCCAGCTACTACGGGCCTAAAAAATGTTAGGTTTCATTATTGTGGGGTGTTTCTTTTGGGAATCAAGTTCCAGAGAGGTGGATGGTTATATGTACCATTACTGCTTGGTGCAGCTAACATTACGGATCATATTTCCTTTGTGATGCCGTACAATACCTGTGCATGTGATAGAAGGAGGTCGACTAACTGAGTCGATATCTTACATGGGGTAATTCAGTTTACTAACGGACGAACAAAGAATTGGAAAGATGTCAGCGAAGAATCAAAGC